TTTTATTGACCACATGTTTGTTGCTATGAAGAAATGCAATGGATTTTTGTATGCTTACCTGGTATCTTGTGACCTTACATAAGTCCAAGTGTAAGTCTAGGAATTCTTTTGCTGATTCCTTGGAATTTTCCACATTGTCTGAAAATGGGACTATTTTATTTCCTCCTACCTGATCTTTATGTTTTTTGTTTCCCTTTCTGACCATATTATAATTCTTAGAATTTCCAGGGCTATGTTGAATATAGTGGTGGGAATGGGCATTCTTGTGCCTTGATCCTGATCATAGAGAGATAACATTTAGTGTTTCACTGTCAAAAATGGTATCACCTGTAGTTGTTTCCTTCCTTTTTTTTTTTTTTTTGGAGAGGGAGGAGGGAGGGGCATCTGGGTGGCTCAGTGGCTGAGCATCTGCCTTTGGCTTAGGTCATGATCCTGGGGTCCCTGGATCGAGTCCTGCATCAGGCTCCTGGCAGGGAACCTGCATCTCCCTCTGCCTATGTCTCTGCTTTCTCACAGTGTTTCTCATGAATAAATAAATAAAATCTTAAAAGAGAGAGAGAGAGAGAGGGAGGGAGGGAGGAGGGGCAGAGGGAGAGAAAGAATCTTAAGCAGACTCCACATCCAGTGTGGAGCCTAACACCAGGCTTGATCTCACGACCATAAGATCACAAACTACACCAAAATCAAGAGTCCAATGCCTAACCAACTGAGCCACCGAGGCACCCCAGTACTTGTTTATTTCAAATATTCCTTATCAAGTTGAAGATGTTCTCTTCTATTCCTATTTTTCTGAGAGATTTTTGTCATGATTATTTATTGATTTTTATCAAATCTTTTTTCTGCATCGATTGATAACAATCATGTGATTTTTCTTCTTTAGACTGTTAATATGGTAGATTGCATTGACTGGTTTTCAAATTTATACCCTTGAAATAAACTCTACTTAGTCATGGGTGACAAATGGTTTTAGTATATTGCTGGATTCTGTTATTATTTTGAGGTTTTTGGTGTATAAAATTGTGAAAGATAGTTGGTTTGTGGTTCTCGCTCTTTCTCATTCTTTGTAAACTATCTTTGTATGGTTTTGGTATCAGGAAAATAGCAGCTTCATAAAATGAAACATTCTATCCTCTTCTACTTTCCAGAAAAGATTGTATGATATTGGTGTTATTTCTTCTTTAAAAATTTGGTAGAATTCTCTAGTTTATTAGTAAACTGTATTATGTTTTAAATTTCTGATTTCAATTGTTCATTGCTGATGTGTAAGACAGTCACTGACTTCCGTATGGTAACTGTGTGTCCTGGAACCCTCTTATCATTGCTTATTAGCTCCAGGAGGCTTTGTTGTCATTGATTCTTTGGGATTTTATACATAGTACAATCAGGTCATCTGTGAATAAAGATAATTTTATTTATTTCTTCCCAATTAGTATCACTTTTACATCATTTTCTTGTCAAATTGCATTAGGTAAGACTTCCGGTATGATACTGAAGAGGTGAAAGCAGACATCTTTCCTTGTTTCTGATCTTAGCAGGAAAGCATCAAATTTCTCGCCATGAAACACATTAGCTGTAGGCTTTTGTAGATGTTCTTTATTAACCTGAGGAAGTTCCCACTATTCCTAGTTTGCTGAGAGTTTTCACAAAAGGGCATTGGAATTTGTCAAATGCTTTTTAGGCATCTATTGATATGATAATATAATTTTTTTTGCCATACTGGTGTTATTACATCAATAAATTATATCAATTAATTCTTAAGGTTGAGCCTTACATGTCTTGTATAAGTCTCACTCCTCTGCTGATTGTCAATCTGTATATTTTCACTGTAATAAACCATAACCATGAACATAACAGTTTTCTGACTTCTATGGATCTTTTACAAAATTACTGAAGCAAGAGGTCTTTGGAACCTCCCGAACTTGTGCCTTGTAACAGCACTGCCTTTGTTTGTTTTTGTTTTACCATAGCCAGAGTCTGTAGAGCTTTTTCCTAATCTTAGCTTCATTTAAAGCCAGCAGCCTATTCTGTTGCCCTGTATGTGGGCTAAAATAGTAGACCCAGAAACTAAAGAGACAGCACACCTCCTTCTTCATAGTGAGGCACAGAAGATTCAATAATTTATCTCTTGCTTTGGATCGGATGTACTGGTTTAGTGGGCTGCTGACTCTTCATTGAGTTGACCTATCATGTGAAATGTGTGTCTATCATGACTTCTAATGTCATGGTTACTTCTTGCTCACCTGGCCTGATTAGCATACCACAGACAGCGTGGATTAACGTGATGGTCTGTAGGAAGTACAAATAGACCAGACATTTTCTATCTGTATTTTATCAAAAGAAGAGAGTGTTAATACAGTCTTGGGCAAAACGAAAAATACATATATATACTATCATTTATTCCATGTGAGTTGAACTTCTTATGATCCCCTTTTCTGATCATGATCAGATATGATCCCCTTTGCTGTCACAGTGGCAGCAAAGGACACATCAGTCCAGTCATTGCCCACATACCATGTACCTGGGGCAGTGCTAATTTGCTCTAGCAGAGATATCTCACTGTGATATCGGAAGTGGCACACAGGCTGCAGTTGGGTCTACCACTTGGTTTGACTTTGCGGAAGTCAACAGCTGTTCTTCAGGCTTACTAGCTTTCTGCAGGGGTCAACTGATAAATTAAATGCATATATGACAGAGACCATTTTTCCTATATTCTTTAGATCCTTAATGATTGTACTAAATTATATTTGTGCTCCCTCACTTAAGTCAATGAAAAGTGGGAGCAGAGTTCTCTGAAGACTTACAGCGCAGAGGAGATAAAAACTGGACCTCAGGATTTGAAAGGGGACATGGCACCAGTCAACATCCCTAGCTTTCAGCTGGGACTAAATTCTGAAAGTGGAGCAGACCAGAGGTAGACAGAGCCTCCTGTGGCTCAATCTCAAGTGAGTTTTGTCCCTGACTGACTTAAGATGATCTGATTGCACTCTATCAAAAAAGAGGGAACCCCTCTCCCTGGAGGGAAACAACAAAATCCAGATGTTGATGTAGGGGATAAAGCAATCACCACTTTTTCAAGTAAAATGCAAGAATGATGCCTAAGCCAGGCCACCCCTCTGAGCGCCTGAACATACAAACCATTTGTATTTTACTGCCAAGGCCTTTGGATCCTCCCTCTGTTAGTAAATGAGTCCCAGTCGAACTGCCCTACAAGGGAGACACCAGGTGGAAGGGACCTCCTGAGGTCTGAGGTCAGCTCCAGCCCAGCCAGACTTAGCAACAGGTCAACCGTGGCTTTTGCTTGGAAGGGCTGCGTTAGTGGCTGCATCCGGCAGGCGGCGACGTTGTACCAGGAAATGGCCCCTCTGGGCGCTGCAGCTGCCTTTCTGTCTTTAACCAAAACTGGGATTTTCCTTTACTCTTTGGAAATTCTTTATTGTTTTTGCTGGAATCGTCAGAGGGGGGCAGGGAAATGGTTTGGAGACAAGCTACATGTCCCACGTGAAGCAGTTCACAGGAGAATCCTCTGTGGGACTCAGGAGATGGGAAGAGCAGGGATACATCCCATCAACTCCCGAACACCAATACCTTGAATCCACCCAAAGCGGCCATCCACAGGATTACTTCAGTTTTCCTCCCCAACCTCAATTTTTTTTAAAGATTTATTTATTCATGAGAAACACACAGAGAGAGGCAGAGGGAGAAGCAGGCTTCCTGTGGGGAGCCCCATGTAGGACTGGATCCCAGGGCTCCAGGATCACGCCCTGAGCCAAAAGCGGACGCTGAACCCCTGAGCCACCCAGGTGCCTGCCCCTAACCTCAATCTTGCTTAACCCTCATTACTTGAATTAAACTGCCTTTCTTCCCATTCAAGGGCAATGCAAATCAAGGGCTCCATCCAGGAGCCCAAGAGATTTAGGGTGGTGGGGTAAGGTTACAGAGAGTGGGAAGGGAGGGCAGAGGAGGAGAGAACACAGAGTTGTCACTGTTCCCTCCTTTGTCCTCTCACTCCAGGGTCAGCACCTAAGCCCCAGAGTTGTCCTGTATATCTCTCAGTGTCTGGGAAGCATCAGGGCCCAGGGACCCTCTCCTGCCCTTACACAAGCTGCCTTAGCTCCACCCCTCAGTCCTTGGAAGCTTCCCATGCCCCTGGGCCCAGAACCTTTTTCCTCTTCTGGGACAAGGTAGTTTGGTGATTTGGGTGCCTGACTTCAGCAGGGCCATAAGTCTGAGTCCTCCCTCTTGTATTCACATAAGTGTATATGGCCTTTGGTCCCTCTGGGGGACAGGGTGATCTCAGCTTCATCTCTAATTATCTTTCTAGTGGTTCTCAGAAGCTGAGGTTTTGGTAGAGAGGACTCAGGGCATCAGGGGTGAGGATGGAGAGGAAGGTCACAACACGCTTTTATTTTGGTTTTGAGTAGTTGGTGGTAGTTTGTGGTTGACCATGTGACTTTTTGTGTTTTAGCTGTCCCAAAGGTAGTTGCAGTAAGCACCCTGGACAGAGTCCCAAGGTTTAGTGGAATCATGGGACTGGACAGACCTGGGGGCTTTTCAGATCTGCACATCTTCCTTTTCTTCTTCTTCTCCCCACCCCCAAGGCCTTCTTTCTAGTATGTGTTAAACCTTTCTCTCCTTTCCCTGGTAAGGAAAGGTATGGCCTCAGTCTTTGGATTTAGGGACCACCCTAAACCCAGGATGGTCTCACCTAGAGATCTTCAACTTAACTACATCTTGCAGATTCTATTTCCAAAACAGTCACATCCATGTTCACAGGTACTGGTGGTTGCTATATGGACATAGCTTTTTGGGAAACCAGTTCAAGCCACTACAATCTTTAACTTTTTCTGTTATGTTACCCAAATATCAATCTATTTCCTCCTATAAGGGAGACCTGCCTAATATTTCCCTGTGTTTCTAGTCTTCTCTCTTAATTTCAGAAGTTCCGAGACCACAAGTACTATAAAGATAATTCAGTAGCTTTATTCTTCTGACAGAATCCAGACTGATACTGTAAGTACAGACACATCCAAGGCAGCTCAAATTTCATGAATAAATCCCATTAATCCCCTAAAGAAAACCAGGCATTCCAACACTATTAGTAGGCCTACAATCCAAAAAACTGACAACACAAAACACTAGTGAGTATGTGAAGAGACAGGAACCCTCATTCACTGCTGCTGGGCAGGCACAATGACATGGCCACTCTGGAAGACAGTTTGGCAGATTCTTACAGAGTTAAAAACAATCTCACCATACAGTCTAGTAATCATACTGTGAGGTATTTACCCAATGGAGTCAAGAACTAGGTTCACACAAATATTTGTATGCAGATGCTTATAGCAGCTTTATTCACAATCACTTAGCACTGAATGAAGCAAGTAAGATATCTTCCAAAAGGTGAATGAATGCACAAACTGCAGTGTGTCCATACAGCAGAATGTTACTCAGTGGCAAAAAAAATGTGAGCTCTCAAGCCATCAAAAGAAGCAGAGCAACCTTAGTTAAATATTGCTAAGTGAAAGAAGTCAAACCGAAAAGGCTCCATACTGTATGATTCCACTCCATTGACATTCTGGGAAAAGGCAAAACTACAAAGATAGTAAAAGGATCCCTGGTCCCCAGGGACTCAGGACGGGGGGTGGGGAGGGATAAGCAGATGAAACCCAGGGGACTCTGAGGCTGGAGAAACAATTCTATACAATATTGTAATGGTGGAGACATGACATGCACTTGTTAATGCCTGCTGAACTCCCAGCATGGGCAGAGAACCTTGATACATGCAAATTTAAAAAGAAGTATTCATTTATTTACTTTTAGAGAGAAATTGTGAGCAAGGGTAGGGGCAGAGGAAGAAGGAGAGGATCCTCAAGCTGACTCTGCACTGAGTGTGGAGGCCAAAGCAGGGCTCGATCCCAGGACACTATGACCTGAGCCAAAATCAAGAGTCAGTCACTTAGCCAACTGAGCCACCTAGGTGCCCCAATGTATGCAAATTTTAAATATCACTTAGGTTTGAGAAGTGAAAGGAAAGAGGACAGACTATGACAAGAGAACCCTACTGCATTGTAAATGTACAAAACTCCTCACATGATGGTGACCCCAGTGACTCTGGGAGAGAGTCTGCAAGACTAAAGGCAAAAGAGACGACACCCATACATTGTATTGTAGTTGATAACGTTATTTCCCACCCCAGTGCAGGTGAACAACTCTGACGCCGCTTTGTATGAATACTGAATTAAGCAATTAAGTGGATGGGAGATGGTAGGAGCCATGTTTCTCACTGTTGGCCTAGGAGTTCACGGATAAGTTCAACGGCGGAGGCAAAAATGATCCATGTGGTACTGGACTGGAGTGGGAGACATCGGTAAGAATGTTCAATTTATTATCATATAGATAGTTACATACAGGAATGTTTGTAGACATATATACCTATATAGGTATCTATCTAGATATATCTGTAGTCCTCCCCTTTATCTGTTTCAAGACCGCTAGGGGATGCCTGAAACTATAGATGGTACCAAACCCTATATATGCTCTGTTTTTCCTATATGCACATACTTGTGATAAAGTTTAATTTGTAAATTAGGCACAGTGAGAGATTAACAATAAGAACAACTATAACAATGTACTGGAATAAAAATTATGTAAATGCCCCCCTCTCCCTCTCTCAAAATACCTTACTGTACCATATAGTCTTCTTTTTGTTATGATGATGTGAGATGGTAACATGCCTCCCTGATAGGATGAAGTGAGGCGGATGACATAGGCACTGTGACTCAGTGTTAGGCTGCCATTGACCTTCTGGCAATAAGTCAGAAGGAAGATCATCTGCTTCCGGACTGCATTTGACCACAGACAGGCAACTGAAGCCCCAGAAAGCAAAGCCAAGACTGTACTGGGGAGGATGACTGTACATGAGTTAATACACACACACACACACACACACACACACACACATATTTCTTTTCTCTGTCTGCTGAGTGAGCATAAAAGAAATAACACCCAAATGCAACAAGCATACCTAGTGCCCAGACTTGGTTTCTTATCTTTTTTTTTTTTAAGATTTTATTTATTTGAGAGAGAGAGAGAGCACAAGTGGGGAGAAGAGCAGAGGGAGAGGCAGAAGCAGACTTCTCCCCGAGGAAGGAGCCTGAGGAGGTGCTCAGTCCTGGGACCCTGGGATCATGACTTGAGCTGAAGGCAGACGCCCAACCGAATGAGACACCCAGGTGCCCCCAGATCTTGGTTTCTAACACTTTTCTCCATTAAAAGTAACCAGGGTTCCTTGGAGAAATGGCTGATTCTAGGGCTGGGGCGGGAAATATATAGGAGGAGCCTGGAGCATCCTGTAGGACTGCAACTAAAAAGTGCTCAAAAAACTAGGAGACAAACAACACTCCAATAGGAATATGTCAAAGGGGGCACAAGAACCCACCCAAGGGCTCCCAATGACCAAAGCTGGAACAATTTGGCCAACACAATAAGGTAGTATTGGATTACAACTCAGGTAGATCTATGAGTCCATATGGTACAAATAAGTGGGTGAGAAGAGGCAAATCTCCCATGCAGAAGGACTCCATATAGAATGTGTAGATACCACAGGAGTTTCCGACATAAGGAAGGGGAACACAACTCCCCACTCCTTAGGTGTGGGTTGTGCATAAAACTTCCTTCCAATGAGTACATAATAGAAAGGATGGAGAAAGAGCAACTTTACTGCAGAGATCAACACCACTTTGGCCAGCATTTCAAAGCCAACGCCAAGTCATGAATCGTGTGGATAATATGTGCCGTTGAAATGATATGGTGAGAAGGCACTTTGCCCCCTGGCTTTACTCTCCAAACCCCACAACCCCATCTAGTTATCAGACAAATTCCTACAGAAGGACCTGACCAGGTCTCTTCCTAACTGTCAAAGTCATCTAGTCAAAGTCTGAGAAACTTCAACAGGCAAGAGGAGCCTCAGGAGGCATAACAAGTAAATGTAATGTGCTGTGCTGCACGCAATCCTAGGACAAAAAAGGTAAAAAATAAGGACATAAGATCATAATCCTATGATCTTTAAGATATTCTCTTTGCCCTAATAGCCTATAAATACAGGAAGAGCAATGTTACCCTCTGAATTTTAGAACACATATGTCCTGAGTTTTAGGAATATGAGGATTTTGGAAATGCTAAAGATTTTGCGTAAGATTTATTTTTAAAAAATTTTATCTATTTATTCATGAGAGACACACATAGAGAGGCAAAGACACAGGCAGAGGGAGAAGCAGGCTCCCTCCTTGCAGGGACTCGATCCTGGGATCACGCCCTGGGCCAAAGGCAGATGCTCAACTGCTGAGGCACCCAGGCATCCCTGTAAGATTATTTCTAACCAAGCATTTAGTTCCTCAGTTAAGACTAACAGCAGCCCTGAGTGGTGCTACTGATTGACCCACATGTTTCCTAAGCACTTACTTTCCACCTTCCAGACACTGAGATGAACAAATGTTACATCTTGCCTTCAAGCAACTGAACTTAGGGGAAGCCACAGAAGATGGGGGGAAAAAACCCACACACAACGGTGACACTAGTGCTAGTGTCGTAATCCCATCGCTCTTCCCATTGCTCAACTTTAAAATAGGGGTAACAGTTCACTTGTTAGGATTATAGTTTTCATGTGTTTTGAGCAATGGTGCATAGTAAGTGCTCCACAACAGTAATTTTTTAAATGAAATTAACCATTTTACAATTTAGGAAATGATCCCCACTGCCTATGGAATAACAACGCTGTGGGTAATCCCCTTCAAGTGTGTAAACACACTGAATTCTCACTATCCTCAATCCTCAACACTCATCATTTCCACATCTTCCTGACTTATACATTCTTCTATAAACCACTGTCTGTGTTTTTGCTTCATATCAAAAAGGATGTGGTCCATAGTACAGCCAAACTCAACAATGTGAGATAACCCAGTCTGGCAATTAGAAGTAAAGCCAGCGGTGTGCATGGCCACCAGTGAACCTTTTGCATCGAACACCGGGGAGCCAGAAGCCCCAAAGTAAAAAGAGGTGTCATAGGTAATCACCTCCGGATTTTGAGCTATGTCCTGGAAGCTTCTTTGGGTGTACATATGGATATATTGCATACCATAATCGCGGCCTTCTCCCTCTCCAGCCTGAAGACGGTCCTGAAATTTCCCTACTCGCTGATCCAGAGGGATCACAGTACAAGCGTCACTAGACTTTGCCTCTCCATACGGATGGCCGATGATATATATCAGGCCACTATGCGGTGCAGGTGCAACCCTATGATAGAGTCCCAAAGGCACTTGTTGTTCATTTGCCTTCAGTTTCAGAACGGCATAATCAAGAGTTGCATCAGATACCTCAAACAAGGGCTCAATGAAGAAGCAGTTCTCTTCTTTCTCGGGGGGCTCTTCATAACTAAATGTCACCCTTACGCACTGACTAATTATGTCTGCCCACCTACTGGGGTCAATTCCTTCGCCCACGATGTCATTTATCACGTGCCGACAAGTTAAAATGAACAACTTACTAAAAACAAAGCAGGTAGCAGAACCCCTATTTCCATTGTTGTTCCATGTCAGGTACCCCACGGAATCACTCAGATGGGAAAGAAGCTTGTGCATTTTAACCGGGGTAGAGTTTTTTGTCAGTTTCCCAAACTTTACCTTATGCAGTTTAAATAAGGACACTTTGCTCTTTTTATGTTCCAACTCTTTCTTGAAGTTTTCTCTGACTCTTTCACTTTCTTTCTTCAGACTGGGGTATTGAGCCACAATTTCTTCTCTCACCACGCAAATGTTTCTTTCCTCGGACTCCAAATTCTGAGCGGCTCCTGCTTCGGAGCCTGTTCTTTTCTCAACTTCCACCTCAAAGAGCTCGCCCTCTAGGTTGTCAACGGTCTGTGTGCTTTCTAGAATGGAGTCCAGGTTCTTGATTAGTTTCCAGTCTTCTTTCTCCAGAAAGGAGAGAAACCTGCCATCCTTGCACACAGCGTCCTTGATGGTTTCTCCTTTGAAAGCGTAGACGCAGAGTTTGCACCCTTCTTTGTGAAGTTGCCTGCACTTAATGAGCCTCTTCTTGCTCTTCCCAATCGCGTGAATATAAAATTTGACACAATCAGGGGATACCTTGCCATGCCGGCCAGATACCAGACTCCCTTCTCTCTGCCTACTTTTACTCTGGGAAAATGTGATTAGCACACGACAGCTTTCAGGAAAGCAACTGAGGGGCATTCCAAGATTTATGTATCCTTCAATGCCTTCCGTGCCAAGCACTAGCATTTCTTTGCCTTGCTGAGTTTTTATCTCCTTTTTGACAGCCTCTAGGGTGTTGAGTGCTCCATATAAGCTATCCCCTCCAGTATGCGTGAGCACGTGTTTCCTGTGGCTTACATCCAAGGTGATGTAAATTGTCTTATTTGGGGGCACAGTCTGGTCTTTGAGTCCTTGAGCCTGGGTGTTAGTTATATCTTTTGGATCTCTTTTAGAGCCCATCTTCATTTGAGGAGTATTGGAATTATTCTCTTGGTTTTTATTGACCTAAAAATAAATGTGAAATGTTTTAAAATTATGAATACAACCTTACACAAGGAGGATTCATCAAATAGCAGAAATCCCCCCCCCCCAATTAAGAGCATTTGATTTCTACACCTAAGTGAAGCATCTTCCCCAAATCATGGTCATCATGGCACAGGTGTCAACAATATGAGTTCATATGGTGGCAATGTCACTTGCTGGTAAGGGAAATAAGGCAGGATTGTTGCAAAGATTGGGTGTAATGTCATGTGTAACAATACCTAGCATGATGACCAGTACATTAACAGATTAATTTTTATTTTCCTTCTTTTTTTTTTTTTTTTTTTTTAAATTTTTTTTTTTATTTTATTTATTTATTTATGATAGTCACAGAGAGAGAGGGGCAGAGACACAGGCAGAGGGAGAAGCAGGCTCCATGCACCGGGAGCCCGACGTGGGATTCGATCCCGGGTCTCCAGGATCGCACCCTGGGCCAAAGGCAGGCGCCAAACCGCTGCGCCACCCAGGGATCCCTATTTTCCTTCTTTATGATGGTACTAACACTCTGGATAAAAAAAAAAGGAACCGAAGATAATATAAGTTTACTCTGGGCATAACATAACAAACCCTCAAAGAGCATCTCTTCAGCCCAGTGTTGTCAAAAACATCCCTGTCACAGGTCCTGTTGGAACACTGTAATAGATTTCCAATTATTCAAAAGATTCATGGGCAGATACATTTTCAAAAAGGGAATTGGTTAGTACAAGTTTATTATCTGGCTTGTTACGATGTAGGACAAAGAAAGTATAACAAGGCTTGTCTTGGCTTTCCTAGATACCTGGATATCCAAGTTACAACCAGATGAAAGAAATCAAATGAAAGCTTTTATGGTGCATCCTCAAATTCTCAAAATTCTCACACTTCTTGATAAATCCAACGAGCATTTCAGATTCAGGAAAGACTATGACAGTTTGCTATGATAACAGAGCCCCATTATTACAAAGAGCCCTGACTTAATGTCAGTAAATATAAGTGCAAGGCTTCCCACCACTTCCATCTCCAGCAAGAAGTCATTTCTCTCTCCTCATAAATGAATTGAGGAAAATAAAACTCTCCCTCCTTGCCTACAAAGTTTATGGTAAAGATTATTATTTTATTTTTTAAAGATTTTATTTATTTATTCATGAGAGACACAGGGAGAGAGAGAGAGAGAGAGAGAGAGAGAGAGAGAGAGAGAGAGAGAGAGGCAGAGACATAGGTAGAGGGAGAAGCAGGCTTCATGCAGGGAGCCTGATGTGGGACTCGATCCCAGATCTCAGGATCACATCCTGGGCTGAAGGTGGCGCTAAACTGCTGAGCCACCTGGGCTGCCCAAGATTATTATTTTAAAATGTGTTTTAGAAACTAGAAAGCACAATAGAAATGTAGGTTACTATTGTGATCAAATAGATTATCCATATTTGGAGCAGTATATATTTTCATGCTATGAAATAGTATGAATTTTTTCATTCTGTAGTTGACTGTAATAATTATAGTAAATTTTGGTTGTTGTTGTTGTTCAAGAAGTATTATGATCCATTTCTACCTGAAGGCTGTTTTGATACGGCCAAGTTTGTATTAAAACTAAAAGAATAAAGCAGATGAGAAAGATTTTAACGTAATATCCTCAACCTACAAGGAAGTAGTTTCTCAGCAGGAAGCACTAGGACACCCAGTGTCAAGGAAAGCTATGTGTCATATCGGTACATTCCATCAACAGTATTTACAAACATACCTGAGGAAAATAGTGCTCAATCTTCATATTACTCTTCTCATCAAATGCGATCCTCTGTGATCTGCGCTTCTTAGGGCTCATGATGACTTGAAGATGAGTAGACAGTTCAGCTGAAACACTAATTTCAGAAAGGTTCAGGTTAGAGTAGTATTTTCATAGCTATGTTAATTGTACAGAGGATAACATTGACAGGGACCCCACATCCCACCCATCCCCTTCGGCTCCAGTGTCTCTTCAGAGATGTTAACTCGGCAAGTAGGCAGTTCATCCAACAACAACAATCACCTTGACGATAAAAGCTCCCTTTCCTAGAACACTGTGTGTCAGGTACTATACTAAATAACTTTACAGAAATCATTTCCAGATGCCGATTCTCCCAGATACCATGCAAAGCTGATATATTTGCTTTTTGCAGGTGAAGAAAATACTAACTCAGAGAAGGCAGGTGACCCTCAAGGCCAGAGCCATGTGGCAGAGATGGAATTCAAATGCAGGTATAGAGATACCTGGGGGCTCAGTGGTTGAGTGTCTGCCTTTGGCTCAGGTTGTGGTCCCGTGATCCCAGGGTCCTGGAATCGAGTCCCACACTGGGCTCCCCGCAGGGGCCTGCTTTTTCCTCTGCCTGTGTCTCTGCCCCCCCCTCTCTCTCTGTGTCTCAAATAAATAAATAAATAAATAAATAAATAAATAAATAAATATCTTAAAAAAAAAAGGTAGGTATAAATGTCCCACAGGTGGGTTTGTAGTTTGAGAATTCAAGTGTGTTCTACTTACACTAGATGTTAAAATCTGGCCCTCATTTCAGGTGGCGACACCACAGGGGTGGTAAGGTTACAAGGAAAGGGATGGGGAAAGAACCATAAAGACAAAATAATCTTGGAAGGAGGGTGTGCCTGGGAAGATAGTCAGGAAGTTTAGTTGCTGCTTGGTTTTTGTTGTTGTTGTTGTTTAAAGGGGTATTTTTCTTTTGCCTTTCCTCTGATGTCTCCTCGGAAAAGAATGAACTATGTAAAGTAAAACAGCAAAATCTTCATTCATCATAAGTAGAACAAAAGCCATAGAGGACAGCAGGTTTCTATTTTCAGTATCCCAACATGTACCACGACGCCTGGCATGTGGTGAGCTCTCAATAAAGACACATTTGTAAAGATCCCATGAACAAATGGAGTATGCACATGATTTACATGTGCATTATCCTAAGTGCATTTTTATATAAATTATGTCATTGAATTCCTCCAACTCTGTGTGGAACTCATAATATGCCTATTTTACTAATTAAAAACTTGAGCATCCAGAGAGATTAAACTATTTACTCAAGATCACAAAGCTCCACAGAGTACACTTTTGATTATGAACATTTTCAAATAGGAACAAAATTTTAAAAAAGAGAACAGTATAATAAATCTCCAAATGCCTATCACATAGAATTGATGATTATTCGGTATCCCTGGGTGGCGCAGCGGTTTAGCGCCTGCCTTTGGCCCAGAGCGCGATCGTGGAGACCCGGGATCGAATCCCACGTCGGGCTCCCGGTGCATGGAGCCTGCTTCTCCCTCTGCCTGTGTCTCTGCCTCTCTCTCTCTCTGTGTGTGTGATTATCATAAATAAATAAAAAATAAAAATTAAAAAAATAAAAGAATTGATGATTATTCATTTTCTGATAAATTTGCACCATCTCTTGATTTTCCTAGATTATATTACACTTAGAGGCATCATGACATTTTATCCCTAATTATCTCTTTCCAGCTTTACACATTAAGAACTTTCTCTTGTGTAATCACAATACTAATGTATTCAGACAAAGATCCAATTGAGGTGCACAAGTTGTCTTTAATTATTATGTCTCTTAACTTTCTTTTATTCTAGAAAAAGCCCTGATTCATTGAAGAGAACAGAGGTGCCTGCAGAATGTTCACCTCCTGGGCTGCTGCTTTGTGTTGCTGTTTAACTTGCGCTCTGGCCCATCTGTTTCTTGCCAGTACAAGTTCTCTAAACACTTGACTATTCTCCTAACCATTTCATTGTGGAGCAGGAGCTGTGGCTTCATTTTTTTAAAGCTTTACTTAATTATTCATGAGAGACACAGGGAGAGAGGCAGAGATATAGGCAGAGGGAGAAGCAGGCTCCCTGAGGGGAGCCTCATGCAGGACTCGATCCCAGGACCACGACCAGAGCCAAGGGCAGATGTTCAACCACTGAGCCACCCAGGTGCCCCTGTGGCTTCATTCTTTACTGGTAATAGCTACCCAGGAAAATCTAGGGCCTTTAAGCCTAACTCTCCTGTTTGTAAAATGAGGTAAAGAATCTGAAGGTACTGCCTCCATGTGAGTTTTTATAAGACCACTTGGGTTCAAACCATTGACGAGTTGCTTGAACTTGGGCATGTTAATTGGCTGCTGTCTATCTCATTGTCCACACCTCTAAGATGGGAGGAGATGGAACCTGCCATCCTTGTTGTGAAGATTAAAAAATACAATGCATGAAAAGCCTTTAGAGAAAATGCTCTGCATCACTTGCCATCAGGGAAATACAAATCAAAACCACAATGAGATACCACCTCACACCAGTGAGAATGGGGAAAATGAACAAGGCAGGAAACAACAAATGTTGGAGAGGATGTGGAGAAAAGGGAACCCTCTTACACTGTTGGTGGGAATGTGAACTGGTGCAGCCACTCTGGAAAACTGTGTGGAGGTTCCTCAAAGAGTTAAAAATAGATCTGCCCTACCACCCAGCAATTGCACTGCTGGGGATTTACCCCAAAGATACAGATGCAATGAAACGCCGGGACACCTGCACCCCGATGTTTCTAGCAGCAATGTCCACAATAGCCAAACTGTGGAAGGAGCCTCGGTGTCCATCAAAAGATGAATGGATAAAGAAGATGTGGTCTATGTATACAATGGGATATTCCTCAGCCATTAGAAATGACAAATACCCACCATTTGCTTCAACGTGGATGGAACTGGAGGGTATTATGCTGAGTGAAGTAAGTCAATCGGAGAAGGACAAACAGTGTATGTTCTCATTCATTTGGGGAATATAAATAATAGTGAAAGGGAACAGAAGGGAAGGGAGAAGAAATGGGTAGGAAATATCAGAAAGGGAGACAGAACATAAAGACTCCTAACTCTGGGAAATGAACAAGGGGTGGTGGAAGGGGAGGAGGGCGGGGGGTGGGGGTGAATGGGTGACGGGCACTGAGGGGGGCACTTGACGGGATGAGCACTGGGTGTTATTCTCTATGTTGGCAAATTGAACACCAATGAAAAATAAATTTATTATTTAAAAAAATGAAATGGAAAAAAAGAAAAGAAAAGCCTTTAGAACACTGCTTGGCACATCACAGGTTGATTCACATACCAGTAAATATTACTACTATTATTAGTATGAATAACAATATACTTACCACAGGGATACTTTTCAAACAGTGGAGGACCTAGGGAAATAAAAATCGATACATATCATTGGGCTGTGTTATAAGATCCTTGAGGGCAAGAACTAACTGCCCAACAACTAAGAGATTCTGGGGTTTTAGTGTGTCCCTGGATGACGACCCAATCTTAGGGACTTTGAGAGAGGACCCAAGCGACTCAGGGTCAGAAAAGGGAAACGAAGGGGATGGAAAGAAATGTGGATCTTGCACTACACTGGGATAAACTTGAGCATTCACAGTGGCAAGGGGCAAGAGATTAAGAAAACATCCCACCATTACACACACACACACACACACACACACACACACACATAACATCATTTCTAGTATCCAGTGTGAGTCACGTTAAGGCAGATATGAAGTGTCCTCAACTAGCCATCTGGTTCCAGCCTCCTCTTAGGGTTGGAGAAGGTTCTGCTAAACCACTTGCCCCCCCCGCCCCCCCCACCCATCTTCAGTGAGCAGGTAAGTACATACCTGTCCTCCATCCATTTCCTGCCTACCTGGGGCTCTCCATAGAATTCCTCCCACACTCACCTCTCTCTCTCCACCCTTCCTCATCCTCTCTGCTCTCCCCTCCTCACCCTCCCCTTCTCTCTCCTCCTTCTGGCTCTCTCTCCTCTTCCCCCCTTCTCCCCACCCTCCCCTTCTCTCTCCTCCTTCTGGCCTTTCACCTTCCCCCATCCCCTTCTCTCTCCTCCTTCTGGCCTTTCCCCTTCCCCCAACCCCTTCTCTCTCCTCCTTCTGGCTCTCCCTCTCTCCTCCTTCTGGCTCTTCCCCTCCCCCCATCTCCCCACCCTCCCTTTCTCTCTCCTCCTTCCAGCTCTCCTTCTGCCCCTTCCTCTCCCCCTTCTCCCTCTTCTCTCCCTCCACTGGGGAGCACGTGGGAGGGACAGAGCCAGATCCCCGGCTGACCCCAGGCCTCCTGCTAGGGCCCCACGCGCCCCCGCCCAGCCCCGCAGGCCCCGCGCTCACCCGCTGCTCCAGGGCCCGCAGCACCTCCGCAGCCCAGCACCCGGGACTTGAATCCAGCGCCCAGCGCGGGTCCGCGCCTTTGGGAAGCCGCCGAGGCAGCTGCGCTCTCCCGGGAGGCTGGTCCCGAGGGGGGAGGCCCCGCTGAGGTTCGGGAAGATCTCCACGCCAGCCGTCGGGCGGCTTCCACTTTCACAACCCTTGCGGCTTCCAGCAGCCCCGCCCCTGCTTTTTGGGCGCCCGCGGAGCAGGCCTGGGGGGCCTCGGTCCTCCCCCAAGACTCCGTGCCCCCCCACCCCGCCCCTGGCCCTCTAAGAGGCAGACGCCTGCCTCCCCGTGATCTTTTCTCCTACCAAGTACAGCCACAGCTGACAAGGGGAGAGACCAACTGTTCCATTGCTAACGAGGCAGGATTTACCAAGCTTAGATGTTTTCAAGTTTTGGTCAGGTAATCAGAAGGATGCCTTAAAAGGTTTCTTTACTCCCAGGGACAAAATAAACTCAGCACTCGGGGAAACTCAACAACAGAAAACGCTGGAGCTGAACTTCATGCCAGATTCACTTTTCCCACCTTTGAGTTCAGTGAGCACGGAGAGAAAGTTCAAGGGACTCAGAGGAACGCTGATTTGGAGTTGTGGCAGCAGAAACTGACTACTGGAGCCAGTTGCTGGGCCTCCAAGGATGTTGCTGGGGCCTCCAAGGATGTCAAATGCTGGCTCCCAGAAATCCCAACAGCACCATCTGTTGAGGGGCACCTGGGTGGCTCAGTGGTTGAGCGTCTGCCTTCAGCTCAGGGCCTTATCCTGGGTTCCCAGCATAGAGTCCCTCAGCGGGGTCTCCACGGGGAGCCTGCTTCTCCCTCTGCCTATGTCTCTGCCTCTGTGTGTGTGTGTGTGTGTGTGTGTCCTGAATAAATAAATAAATAAATAAATAAATAAATAAATAAATAACATCTTTAAAAAAAGAACCATCTGTTGATAAGACAAAGCTAAGCTTACTGCTTCTTGAGGTTCTAGGGGAGCAGAATTCTGGTAGTGTCTCAAAAGGGGAGAGCAAGTTTGGGCCATTTATTGAGATTCTGAATTCTGGTTTAAGTTAGGTCTTTAATGTGGGGGATTGTTTAGGATAGGGTAAACACTGGGTGACAGTTTAGGATTGGTGGACGACAGGCAAGGATTTTTCAAGAAGGTTTGGGATGTAAGCTGTGCTCTGCTGTTTTCTTTTTTTAATTTTTATTTATTTATGATACTCACACACAGAGAGAGAGAGAGAGAGAGAGAGAGAGAGAGGCAGAGACACAGGCAGAGGGAGAAGCAGGCTCCATGCACTGGGAGCCCGATGTGGGATTCGATCCCGGGTCTCCAGGATCGCGCCCTGGGCCAAAGGCAGGCGCCAAACCGCTGCGCCACCCAGGGATCCCTGCTCTGATGTTTTCAATGAAAGAGCGTTTGCGTCTTTGAGGAAGTTATTGGAATAAGCAACAAAGATATTTGCAATCTTCATGTCCCTGGGCAAAAGTTTGCTGGGATAGTGAATTTATGTGGATGAAAACAGTATGATAAGTCCCATTAATGTAGTTAGCAAGCTATGTGAATGTAGATGGCTTCCGCGCTCTTAATGATGAACATGCTTGAGAACATAATCATCATTTTTTTCATTTGTCTCTTAGAATAATGAGTATTTTATCCTGGAAAGAGGCTCACTCATGAAAGCACACTTGACATGATTTGTCACACACAGCATTCAGACACAGGGGGATGTTCTTACGAAACATTTTCACGAAGTTAATTAACATTGGGTCTTATAAAGCACATCAGTTTTAAAAATTAGAACCCGCTCTCCCCTTGGGCACTGCAAAAGAAGTGCACATTGCATCATCTTATTCTGTTCTTTTTTTTTTTTTTAATCTTATTCTAAGTTGCCAGGGCCAGACCTCCATCCTTTAAGGAAACAGCAGTATGGGGTTTTTTTTTTTTCCTGCCCCCACCCCCCCAGCCTGAGTTTTTTCGGCATCATGTCCCTGCCAATGAATTTTCTCTAAACTCTAAATCAGCTGCAGATCCAAAGGGGTAACTCACCGAAGAAGAGCTCGTCCCAAACCTAGCAGGACTCGCAGGACTCGCGACTTTGCGGGGGGTGAGGGGGGGGTCTTTGCCAGCCGCCACAGGAATTCCGCCTTCCGCGCAAGTGTCAGTGCCTCTGGCCAATGGGCGTGGAGATCCCGAGTCGCTTTGCTCTCATTGGTCGGCTGCTCTGCTACTGCGGAAGCCGATTGGCCGCGCTCCCGCCGCCGAGCGGAGCGCGGGAAAGGGTGAATGTGGACCTTGGCGCGCGGGGTGTGCACGATCTCCGGCCGCGATCCGGCCGCGGGAGCCCGCGCTCCCTCCCTGCCTAGTGGTTCAGAGTCGCGGCGACCGGGAGCAGGACCGGACTCACCAAGCCGCTCGCGGCCATCACTGCCTGAATCCGCGAGGCCGAGCCAGCGGGGGGCGGAGCGGGAGGCGGGCCTCGGACGCGAGCCAAGGAGGCCGCCCCCGTACTTGCGCAGGAACCCCGGGGTGGAAGTCGGGTGCTAAGACGCGCCTCCCGGATGCCCTGGGTCCCCTCCTGGAGGGCGTGTGTAAGGAGGAGGCGGAGGCTCCAGCTGGGCGTCTGCAGCGTGTCACCTGCTCCGTCGCTCGGGAGACGCCGCGGGCGGGTGCGGAGAAGGGGACTTGGGCGACTCTGGCGTTCCCAGCAGCAGGGGCGGGTCCTACGACTATGACAATCAGGAAGAAGCCGAGAATGGGAGTGGAGTGAATGCCCTTGTCAAGAATCGATCTTCCAACCGTCTATCCATAGAGGCAGACGTTCACGATCCTGATGAAGAAAACCCTACGGACCCCAGGAAGAGAATCTCAGAGCTGACAACTCCAGTAGGATGGGGCTTGCAGACCACCTGCTGGTTAAGGATCTGCGTCAAGGGCAGATGTGCACGTATTCGATACTGTCCTGGAAAAGGAGCCACGGTTACAACCGTGACAAATTTGCCGCAATTGACAGAGGAATATTATCTAATGTGTGTAGAGTGATAGGGTTCCAAAGTGTGTTAGTAACTACAATACATGTGATAATTGGGGGGAACTGGGCATAATGTGCACACGATACACCCAAAGTAGCTACAACTCCTGCTTTCTCTTCTGTGGGTTCTCTGGGGTGTGGAGAGAATAAACTTTAAAAAGGCAAAAAACAGGGATCCCTGGGTGGCGCAGCGGTTTGGCGCCTGCCTTTGGCCCGGGGCGCGATCCTGGAGACCCGGGATCGAGTCCCATGTCGGGCTCCTTGCATGGAGCCTGCTTCTCCCTCTGCCTGTGTCTCTGCCTCTCTCTCTCTCTCTGTGTAACTATCATGAATAAATAAATAAAATATTTAAAAAAATAAAAAATAAAAAGGCAAAAAACAGAAAACCCAAATTGTATGAAAATTTCATCACTCACTGTGGTTCTCTGAGTCATTAGAGGTTTCTATGCTTCTGAGAGTGACAAGCAAGCGGTGGTAAAAATACTAAGGTTGAAAATGCCTAACAGTCTGAGCTATCTGGTTTTGGAGAGCTATCCTGGTGACCTCCCAACATTGACTAGCAACCTCCTGGTGCATTATTCCAGCAGACTTGTCAGCATTTGATAGACTTCTGAGATATTGTCTGGAAATTAAGAAGCAATCTCAACTATGAAGAGGAGTGAAGGTGTCCTTTCTTGGTTTTGTTGAAGCCCACTGCCTGCGCAGAAACCGTGGAGTAAGGGGCAGCCTGGGTGGCTCAGTGGTTTAGCGCTGCCTTCAGCCGGGGCGTGATCCTGGAGACCAGGGATGGAGTCCCACGTCGGGCTCCCTGCATGGAGCCTGCTTCTCCCTCCTCCTGTGTCTCTGCCTCTCTCTCTCTCTCTCTCTCTCTCTCTCTCTCTCTCTCATGAATAAATAAATTTTAAAATCTAAAAAAAAATTTTTGAAAAAAGAAGAAATTGTGGAGTAAGACCTATAATGACAGAATAAATCTGTCTAGTCCAGAGAATGTATTTATGCAGATATGGAGCATTTTCTGTGTCTTTCTCTTTCCTTCCCGTCTTTTCCTCCTTCCTTTCTTCCTTTTTTTTTTTTTGGAGGGTGGGGTGAGGAGCTTTTGTACATTTCAATGTATAAACAAAATAGTAGCTTAGTAGACAATAGGCTTAACAACACTTCCCAAACATGGATGTTAAGAATTTAACATTTTTTAAAGATTTTATTTATTTATTCATGAGAGACACACAGAGAAAGAAAGAGAGAGAGAGAGAGAGAGAGAGGCAGAGACACAGGCAGAAGGAGAAGCAGGCTCCATGCAGGGAGCCTGATGCAGAACTCAATCCTGGGACTCCAGGATCACGCACTGGGCAGAAGGCAGATGTTAAACCGCTGAGCCACCCAGGGGTCCCCAACATTTTCTTTCTATGAAATATTGGTGTACCAGAAGATAGTGAAAAGTTAAAATACAATATGTTCTTATCTATGGGACATCTGTGCAACTATGTAGCACTATATCACTTTTTTTTCTCAAATCTTTCCATAATTTTGTATACTTTTAATAATCCTTATTTTAAAAACATTTCTGGCTTGGTAAATTGGCTTAAAATAACAAATATTTCCTAAACCTTGAGTATATGTACAATAAAATAGATTTTGCTTGAAGGTAGTAGGAAAATACTTTTTTGGATGAAAGATTACTGTCACATTTTAAACTTCATAATCCCTACATCTTTTGTTATTGTTTTTTTCTCCAAATTTCAGACAAAATGAAGTTGTAATTTACCTTATAGAACTAGTGAGACCTAAATAAAATAAAATTCACATTGTCAAGACTAGAAATCAAAAAAGATTTAAAAGCTATCTGACCTTAAAACTTATATATGAAGTCTTCCTCTTTTTTTCTTTTGTCCACTAAAGACCAGAGTTCTTATAATTACCAGGAAACTCCTAAAAATGTAGATGTATTCCTTGTAAATGCTTAATCAAACAGATTATTTTTTCATTACTAGATTAGGTAACAGTATGAGTTTTCTTCCATACATAAAATATACCATTTTATTTCTTGCCTCTTGCTTTTATGTTGTTAAACAGTGAAGAGAATATGCACTTAACACAGTATCATTTTTATAAATAATTCCTATATTTGTTATTCTGCTATAAAAATCTGCCCTGTTATTATGTTTAAAGCTTACACTACTCTCTGAATTTTTGGAAAAAAATATATATATATTATATATATATATAATATATATATATATATAAATAACTATCATGGCTTTTCTTTTTTTAGCATGGTTTTTCATAGGTTTATATGACACTGTGGTCTATAAACATTAATTTTAATAAATCATATATATATGATTCATTTCCATTATATGTAATTCATATATTGTGTGATTAATTTTCTTGTGGGAAACAAATATCAACAATAATATGCATAGATATAATTATGCTGTGGTAACTGGTCTGTTTGGAGAATGTTTACTGTGACTCTTGAATGTGAAATCCTTGCTAGAAAATTTTAATTAGATAATGTGTTTAAAAGACATTACATAAAACATGTAAAAGTATAATCTGATCTGCAGGGATCTTTTGGTTTTGTTTGTTTGTTTTAGAGAGAAACCATGAGATCTTTCAGAGGAGGGGTAGAGAGAGAGGGATCGAGGATCTTACGCAGGTTTCATGCTTAGCACTCAGCCAGATGAGGGGCTCAACTTCAGGACCCTGAGAGAATGACCTGAGCAGAAACCAAGAGTCAGATGCTTAATGGACTGAGCCCCCCAGGGGTCCCCACAGTTTTCGCTATTAATTTTTTTGCAAGGCCTTCTTGTAGGGAAAGATTATACCATACAATGAAGAGGTTTGTTTTCCATTTTTACTTCAGAATTTATTTTATTTTATTATTTTATTATTCTTTATTTTTAAAAAAGATTTTATTTATTCATTCATGAGAGACACAAAGAGAGAGGCAGAGACAAAGGCTGAGGGAGAAGCAGGCTCTCTGCAGGGAGCCCAGTGCAGGACTGGAGACTGGTCCCAGGACCTGCAGATCATGACCTGACCCAAGGCAGATTTTCAACCACTGAGCCACCCAGGCATTCCCAGAATTTATTTTAAAAGTCATAACTGCTCTGTAAAAAAACACACAAAAACCAAAAAGTCAACAAAAATTCCAGGTTCATCATACTTAATACAAATTTATTTTTTGGTTGCCCTAACTCATTGTTAATTATTGAAATCACTGTAAATAAATAGCTGTTTCATAAACTAATATATGTGAACAAGTTAAGAATAAATTAGTGGTGATGCATAAAATTTTACTGTAATTACTTTTATAGAAATTTATAGATGGAGAGAGAGGTGTGGGATTCCTTGGCAAAGGCCAGCCAGGCTGTTTGCTTTCACTGATGGTCTACTTATATCTGTGGGTAGGAGTCAAGAGGGTGTATGGGCAAATAAGATCTGCTGGGGGACTCCCTGTTTCACCGAATACTCTCAATAACCCTGTGGGGAAGGTGTGGTCATCTTCCTCAATTCACAAATCAAAGATTTAGCAAATATTTGCCCAGAAACATTCTTGGGAGGATTTGAACTCCCATCTGAAACTATGGCTACACTCTTTCTATTGAGGTTCTATGGTTGCCTTTAATACTTAACAGCAAAAGGTACAGCAGTTCACCTCTTCCCACATACTTTTTTTTTTCACTTATGTAATCCTTTCTTCACATAAATGTGCGATTACAATTTACAAGAGCCAGTGCTGGATCCTCTAAAGGGTAAAATGTTGAGAAGAGTCCTTCCCTCAAATAGGGAAGGAAGAAAAGGCACACACATAACAGAATTTCTAACATGGTCTCATTCATTTAAAACACATGTTGATTCCTGCTTGCTGATATTGTACTGGAAATTAAGCATACGGAGTTGAATGGATATGTTTTTCACATTCATGGCCCCAGACCAGTTTAATACAACCTAATTCTAAGCACAGCACTTTCGCAGGACATATTATACATGTTTACTGTTTAGAGGTTCATAAAGCTTTACTAATTTTGCCTCAGAAAACATTTATTTTGATTTTCCGGGGAATTAGGGGAACTCTAATTCTGTTTCTCCAACCTGAAAGAGTCTGGAGAACGGAAAGAACCAGCTGATGAGTGTGAGAAATTGTTCTCAGATCTTCCCTGTGTAGACACACATTTTGCCCTGTGACTTTGCAGTTCCTCCCACCTTATTAATGTCAGGCTTAGCCATCTGATTTGTTTTAGACAGGGGAATGTATGACAGAACCAAAACTTACTGAGCTTGGCCTTGGGTGCCACTGGTTCTTTCTGATTGCCTTTCTTTGGCTTCTGCCATTGCAGTGTAAAGAACACCCTCCTGCTAGTACTGCCTTATAATGTGGGGACTCTTCAGTGCATGGAATGAGTGTCCAAATACACCAGGCACACATACTCCATAAATGAGAGTTGCTGTCATTGTTACTCTTTTTTCTTCTTTCTTTCTTTTCTTTCTCTTTCTTTCTTTCTTTCTTTCTTTCTTTCTTTCTTTCTTTCTTTCTTTCTTTCTTTCTTTCTTTCTTTTTTACTATCGTGTTACTCTGATGCATATCTACCTGTCTATGAGGCTGTGCACTGGGTCAAAAGTTGCACATGATTTCTAAGTTTGGGGGAATATTGTCAGATTACTATATAGAAAACCTGCGCTAAATTACTCTTCCACCAGCAGGACGAGGTGGTGCTCATTTCACCTTGATGTCAAAAGTGCTGAGTTGGGGGACGCCCGGTGGCTCAGTGGTTGAGGCTGCCTTGGGCTCAGGGCGTGATCCCCAGCTCCCCGTGGAGAGCCTGCTTCTCTTTCTGCCTGTGTCTCTGCCTCCCTCTCTGTGTCTCTCATGAATTAATAAATAAAATCTTAAAAAAAAAAAGTGCTGAGCAATCAGGATTCCTAAGTTCTGAGTCAGATCATAAGACTCCACATCTGGTAACGTCCCCTGCTTAATCAGCGCCTGCAGCACCCTGATTGCAAAGACTGCCAGGAGGAGGAGGAGGAGGAGGAGGAGGCCGCCTGCCTGCGGGGCTCCTCCTCTCTCCAGGAAGAGCGGTCCCCGCACAGAGGCCAGAGCGCCTGGGCCTTGGGGACGCGCAGGGGGCGCGCGGGGGAGCGGCGTCTGTCCTTCCAACTACAGAGCGGAACCCCGCGGCGGGTCCTTCCCGGGGTCCCGGCAGCTCCGGACCTGCGGGGCGGCACTGAGCCCCTAGGATGGACGTTCCCTAACCACCATCCCGGGGACCCCCTCCTGGGCCTCCCACTTCCTTCCACAGCGCGCTGTTCTACTTTGGGGCTTTCTGGCAGGGACCCTCCTTCGCATCATTGGAGGGGGTAGCGTGGGAATCTCACGTTCTTTCATCACTTGTCACCCGTTGGGGTTGTGCTTGACACACCTAGGTTTTATTTAGATTATTTATTTATTTATTTATTTATTTATTTATTTATTTATTTATTTATGAGAGAGAGAGAGAGAGAGAGAGAGAGAGAGAGAGAGAGGCAGAGACACAGGCAGAGGGAGAAACAGGCTCCATGCACCGGGAGCCCGACGCGGGACTTGATCCCGGTACTCCAGGATCGCGCCCTGGGCCAAAGGCAGGCGCCAAACCGCCGAGCCACCCAGGGATCCCCCACCTAGGTTTTATTTGATCCTCACCTTCACCCCGACGGCAGTGGGTGTGACTTTGTCCCCATTTCACAGATGAGGAAACCGGTCGATTTGCTGGGGACCACGTAACCAGTCGGAGGGAAAGAGGGATGAACCGTCGGATTTTTGGTCTTAGAGCCTTACAGCCGGTTAGGACTCTGCAGAGAGCCTTTGGGCACCGCTCAGTTACTTCATCTGCAAATCAAAGAGGTTGGCCCAGATGGGTGATTCCTCAACTTTAGTGTCTGTAAGAAATAGTTATTTATAGGACACTCTTTTAAAAACGCAGATTCTTGAAGCCGATCCACACGTTGTGGTTCAAACAGATCCGGGGTGAGGCTCGGTGAACTGCGTCTTTAAACAATCACCCGGTGAGAGACTCGGGCTTAGGTGATGCCTAAAGTCCATTAACACCGCCTGGCGGTGTCGTGCACACTTCACATATTTTAAATCACCACCACACCTCTGCGAAATGGGAGCAATTTTTATTCCTTCCCCTCCCCCCCTCGACTCTCCATTTTGTAGAGGAGAAAGCTGCTGGCCCCGCGGCTTCAGGCTCTAGGATTTGCTTCCTTTCCTCCGCGGCTTGGGTTTCTGTGACCCCGCCCCAACTGAGCACTTCCCCGCCCTGCGCTCCCCTCGTCCCGCCGCCCCCACCTGTCCCTCCGGGACCCTCTCGCGGCGCCCGCGGGGCTTCAGGACTCGGAGCTCGGGGCCGTGAGACCCCCTCCCGGGAGGGTCCCCGCCGCCGCCGCCGCCGCCGCCGGAGCCACGTCCCTAAAAACCCGGCCCAGCAGGGGCGTTTCTTACCCCCCTAGCCGGGAGCCGAATCCGGGCGCCGCCTGCAGGTGGCGCCAGAGGACGAGCCTGCGGGAAAGGAGAAGGGGCGGAGCCGGGGCTAAGATTGACATCCTTCCTGCCCAATAGCAGCACAATAGGGAGGCGCTTTGTCCAACCCTCAGCTCCGGGGGGCGGGAGAACACTGGACCCGCAGGAGACCTGTTGGGAGGGCGGAGAAGCTGCGGGGCTGGACCAGCTCGTGCTCTCGCTCTCGCTCTCGCTCTCTCTTCTCTGTCTCTCGTGCTCCTCCTGGATCCAGCTGCGGGCCCGAAGGTGCCAGAACTGAGGTTGGCTTGACCTGCTGGCGCTGCCTGGCCGCCTCTTCCGTTTAGCATTGGTCGCCTGGGCCTTGCAGGGAGTGTGGTGTAGCAGGAGGAGTACTGGGCTCCCGGGACGTGGCCGGAGGGCCGACAGCTTTGTGAGCACGTCTAAAGGTATCCTTTTGGTTACAGTTACACCTGGTATAATTTCGCGTTGCATGATTCCTTCTTTCAATTTCGGTAAACACTAAACAGGGAATGTCAGTCCCTGTGGTGGTCCAGCAGAGAAAGGATGCGTCAAATGCTGAGAGTAGAACTTAACTCCCCATTATTCAGATAGTAATTAAGAAAGAAGGCCTGTCTCCCAAAGAAGCATGTTGGGCCCTTCAATTAGCATAACAGTAAATAATCATAATACAGGACACGTTTCTCATGTTCGTATTGGATAGAAGAATATGGTCACATTCTTTTCATCAAATCTACATCTCAGCCATCTTTCTTAATCTACTTCACCAACACAAGTCCCTTCCCTTCTTCTTCTTTTTTTTTCTTCTTAAGATTTTATTTATTTTTTTCAGAGAGAGAGAGAGAGAGGCAGAGATGTAGGCAGAGGGCGAAGCAGGATCCATGCAGGGAGCCTGCCGGTGCCCGCCAGTGCAGAACTCGATTCCAGGACAGTGGGATCACACCCTGAGCCAAAGGTAGACGCTCAACCACTGTGGCACCCAGGCGTCCCCCCACCTTCCTTTCTTTTTAAAAGTCTAAGATTTCATTTTTATGTAGCCGACTTTGTCTTGTAGAAAAAGTATGAGACTTGGGATGATACAATCTTCCTTCAAAGAGACTTTACAATTCATTCTGGGAGGTGGCTGGGCTGCTATCATTAGTAATGCCCAGTCACCTTAACCTAATTTGGATTGAGGTGATTTCAAACTGACTTGTGTCCCTGTGAAGGCTGAGATATGTCTGGGACATTCTCATTTATGGGTGCAATACTTCATTTGCATTCAAGATCCTGTGTTTACCACAATCTCTATAACTTGATAGGCCTTAAGCTCTAACTCTTGTGCCTCCTCAGCTTCATGATTCTCTTCAAATGTTTGGTCAACTACTCAGCCTCTCCACAATTTGTAGGTGTCTCTCAGGTGTAATCAGTGCTAACTATAGAGCTGACCCCTTTGGGCTTCCCTCCTCACTGGAATACTGGCCCTGTACTTTCTAGCTGCTTTGGTAGAGCTTTGATGCCTTCACACAGGTGTTTCCTATTTTAAGTCTAGATTTTCTGGTTGTTCAGCGTGACCCTGTGTGTGTGTGTGTACAGTGGGAGAGTTGGTCTAAAATATCTATCTCATTATTACCAGAACTCTGAGATTGATTTTTTTTAAGATTTTTTATTTATTCATTCGTGAGAGACCCACAGAGGGAGAGAGAGAGAGAGAGAGAGAGAGAGAGAGAGAGAGAGGCAGAGACACAGGCAGAGGGAGAAACAGGCTCCATGCAGGGAGCCCGATGTGGGACTCGATCCCAGGTCTCCAGGATCATACCCTGGGCTGAAGGCGGTGCTAAACCACTGAGCCACCCGGGCTGCCCTGAAATTGATTTTTTTAATGTTACTAAACTCCAATGGCAATTGCATTTACAAATTTCCCTGTCTTGTCTGTGAAATTTAAGACATTTATTTACAAAGGGTAAGTTTCTTAAAATTGGAGTTATGATATTTGGGAAGCTTCTAAGACATAGAAAATATCAGCCCCTAAACTTGAATGACATGTTCTCTTTGCTGCTTCTCTTTTGTCTTCTGGTAGGAGAAAGATGACATTACCCTCATGCTCCATGCCTCACTGTAGAGATCCTACTACCATATATGTTATGCTTTTTTAGAGAAACAGAATATATATATATATATAGTATATATACATATGTATATACATATATGTATATAATAGAATATATATATATATACACGTATTCCCATTCTGTGGGAATGGCCCTGAGCACCACACAGCCGTGCTCTCACTCTCACTGCTGGCTGCACAATGAAGTATAAGCAAAGTGTTTGGAAGATCAGTGTTTCCCTTTCAAAAACATCAAAATGCCAAAGATTAATCTGGGAGTGTGTGAACTGCCTTCTTTAAAAGGTCATGAGAAACAGGAGTTTTTTAGAGGTAGCTATGGTGGGTGCCTAGGGAAATGGTTCTTACCAAAAGGTATGCAATGAAAGTAGGTTACAATTAGTAGTGCAGAGAAGAACTTTACAGAAGTACTGTTAATTAGAAAGCTTCTACAAGTAAGGTTTGTCAAAGCACGAAAACTGCAATACTTTGCCACAGAGATTCCATGGTGGCTATTTTTTACTTCCAGAAATCTTATTTTTACACTCTATTTAATGTAATGTTTCTCCTATCACTTTGAAGTTTTGTTTGGAGTAGATGGGGTGCGTCTGAGAACACATTCTGGTTTCCTGGGGATTTGGGGTGTTCTCTTTCTGTGTGTTTGATGTGAAGTGGTTTTTAGATGCAAGGACCTCGTGTATGGTCCCAGTGTCTGTACCCCTTGAATTATTCAGGTGCAGAACGTTCAAAACCAGGGGTTGGAGCCTCTTTAAAATAGATACGCACAGTACCTTTAATATATTTTTTCCCATTAACGAGCCTTTTTATTGTTGTGTGTGTTGTTGTTTCTTTTTAATTGAAGGTCCCTTACTGGTCCTGTTTCCAAGAGTGCCAAGACCAGGGGAAAAGGGGAGGGGAACCAGGCGGCGCAAGGAAGGGTCATCTCCACAGCATTCCGTTTATACACAGAACTAAACAGACAAGCACAGAGTTACTATTGCGGTTAGAAGTTGGCAGCATGGGAAAAGGGAGGAACAGGTGGGAACTGGGGTGTCATTAAAAAAATACAGCCCCCCCCAAACTGGGGTGCCTGGGGGGAACTTGGTCTACTTCAACCCAAGAGGAATCAGAAGATCAAAAGTGGTTTGGGAAAGCCAGAACCAGCAGAGATAGAGGGAGGAGGAAGGTTCAGGGGGCGAGGGGGCTATATATATATATCTATATATATAATTTATATATAAATATATTATATATAAAAACATATATATAGATATGTATAATAATTTAACTTATTATGGGTAATTAATTCATGTGATTATGAGTGCTGAAAAATTCCAAGATCTACAGGGTGAGTCGGCAAACTGGAGCCCCAGAAGAGCTAGTGATGAAGTTCTAGTTTGAGTCTGAAGGTCTGAGAGCCAGAAAGGCTTAAGACCCAAAAAGAGCCAATGTTTCAGTTCAAGTACAAAGGTAGGAAAAAGTCAATGTCCCAGTTCAAAGACTGTCATACGGGAAGCATACTCTGTTACTTGGGGTCTCCCAAGTAAATCTGTTCTATTCCGGCTTTCAACTGACTCATTAGGGAGTCAGTAAGGAGAGCAAACTGCTTTATTCAGTCTATCAACTTAAATGTTCATTTCATCCAAAACATCTTCACAGAAACACCTAGAGTAATGTTTAACCCAGTATCTGGTCACCCTGTGGCTGAGTCAAGTTGATACATAGCATTAACCTTCACACCAGATTTAAGCTTATTATGATCTAAGGGCAACTTACAGAATGTGTAGGAAAGAAGTTTTTTGCAAAGAGAATTTTCAGAAGTTGTGAAACCTTGCCATCAAAAACCAGGGAATTTTGTGGGAGTGGATTTTAAAGGTTAATAAAAGAGGTTGGAAAATGATTTTGCTTAGTTCTTTGAAGAGGTGAACTCCCCAGAGTTTCTGATTCAACACTCAGTTTTAGGAAAACAAAGGATTTGTCCTAAATTTCATGATGCTAATCAAAATGAGGATCAGCTAGCTATTGGCCCACAGCTATTCCAATACAACTAGAAGGCCAGACATCCCTTGATACCACCTAGGAAGTATTCTTGGAAAAAAGTACAAACTGAATAGAATCAAGCCTCTAGATCTAACCACCAGTTTACGGGAAATACACCAACTCCAGCTGCAAATTAAATGACACCACAAAGATATAATTGCAAAGTTCAGAATATAGAACATTCTAACTACTGGACAAATGTGATCCACTTTATTCAATAAATACATGTCAGGAAAAAGATAAAGGGGCAATTTACACATTAAAAGGGATTGAAGAGACTCCTACAACCAAATACAATGTATAGACTGTTGGATTCTGATTGTTCCAGAAGTAAAATAAATGAAAATTAAAGGCAAATTTATCACCTCACTGTGAAAGATGCTTTAGATTGCTCCTAGAAGTTAGGGAAAGCTATACTCTGACTGAAATTATCCTTACATTTTTGTAAGCATGTTGACTGTCCTGTATATTTTATTTTAAAAATGCTGCTTAACTTTTTGAGGGTGGCAGTGGTTACCCAGCATACTGTATACTAAAAAGGATAAATCCTTTTTACTATACATAAATCCTAAATTCCTACAGCTAGACTGTAAAAAAGAGAAAGAAATGGCCACAGAAAACAACAGACAGGAAAAAATACCCTGAAGGACAAAATCTGAGGTTTTGAAGGACAAAGGTCAAGGCAATTCCAACTGCCATGGAGCAGTGACCGACAGCTGCAGTGAGCTAATGTAAAAATGTGCTCCTTGCTGGGGCTGGCCATCCCGACAGTTCCTGCACAACCAATTTTGATCACTGCTATGGGAAAGTGACAGTTGTATTTTCCATTCTTTTTGCTGACAAGAAATTTTACTTAAAGTGGTTGGATGTAAGTGGTTGGCCATACTCCACTATAGTCAATCGGGTGTGTGAGTATGGTGAAAGGGAACGGCAGATTCATCTCGGGGCCATGAGGAGCTCCAGTTGTGATGGAAAGACATGCACATCACCCAGAATTCTGGACTCTCTTCAAGAGTGGATAAGTATGCTTCATATGTGGAAAGAAGCATGTGTAGAGACACCAGGGAGGCTAGATAGTGAGACTGGGATTGATACGACTAGTTCATCCAAAATCCATTTTCCCTTTATTCCAAAGTAATAGAATTTAGGCTGGGCGTCTGGTCATCCAGAATAAACACTACATTTCATAGCCCAATTTTCAGTTAAGTGAGCTACGTAACCAAGTGGTAGACAATGAGTACCAGCAGCTGTGATATATGCAGTTTCTATACGGTGCTCTTAAGAGGAAGAGGTATACTCCCCTTTTGCACATATTCCTTTTACTCCTGGCTATGGTTTGGCTGGAGGTGTGTTGGCTGGAGGTGTAGTAGCCATCTTGGACCGGACTGAGAAAACCTAATACCATGACACCCTGGAACTCCCACAACCACAGAGAGCTATATCTTTAAGCTACTTTCTTTTTTTAAAAAAAAAGATTTTATTTATTTATTCATGACAGACACAGAGACAGAGAGAGGCAGAGACACAGGCAGAGGGAGAAGCAGGCTCCACATAGGGAGCCCAACATGGGACTCGACCCCAGGTCTCCAGGATCACACCTCAGGCTGAAGACGACACTAAACCCCTGGGCCACCGGGGCTGCCCTCTTTAAGCTACTTTCTAATAGACATACAGATCTAGAGTTTCTGAACTGAGAATTTCTTTGAGTGAAATTTATGGCTTTTGTACAACCCAGAGACTATCACATATCTGGATAGTCCAATCAATGGCTAGTTGGTAAGGAGACTGTATCAAAGATCTATGCAGGTGAGGGAGATTCAACTGAAGTGATTAACTTCTAGAACATTTTTTTTTTAAGATTTATTTATTTGTGAGGTAGGAAGGGACAGAAGGAGAGAATTTTTCAAGCTGACTCCATGCTGAGTGCAGAGCTGGATGCAGGGCTCAATCCCATGACCCATGAGATCATGACCCAAACTGAAACCAAGAGTTTGATGCTTAGCCCAAAAATGAGCCACCCAGGCATCCCTAGAACATCTTTAGAATGACAAAAAAGCAGTGGGAGGGATTCAAGGGGCCAACACTGGAATGGTGTTCAAGAACATACCCTTTCAGCTGCAAACCAGGAATCAGGAAGCTGGATGGGGAAGCTGTTACAATGCCTCGCCACACTATTAAAGTGAATGAACAGACACTGCGATACAGAGTTTGGCTGCTGCTAGTGCTTGCAATCACTCCTTGATACACATGAAGCTAAGGATAGACATTTACCATGGTGAACACTATTGTCTCTAGACACTCATTTTTCTTTAACATTGTTTGCTAGAAGATGGAGAAAACAGATCATCTCCATCTTAGTTCTGTCTTCCAATAAGAGGCAAGTGCATCTATTTCGAGGAATCTGATTTACAATCTTAGGTGCAAATTAGAAATTTCTTTACTTTCTTCAAATTTTTATTTAAACTCTAGTTAACATATAGTATAATATTGTTTTCAGGAGTAAAGTTTAGTGACCATCACTTACCTACAACACTCAGTGCTCAACAAGACCAGTGCTCTCCTCCATACTCATCACCCATTTAGTCCATGCTCCTCCCATGTCCCTCCACCAACCCTCAGTTTATTCCCTATCCTAAAGAGTCTCTTCTGGTTTGTTTCCCTTTCTCTTCTTTCCCCCTCCACCTTCCCAAATGTCCATCTGCTTTGTTTCTTAAATTCCACATGACTGAAAGCATACGGTATCTTTCTCTGACTGATTTATTTTGCTTAGTATAATACCCTCTAGCTCCATCCATGTTGCTGCAAATGGCAATATTTCATTCCTTTTGATGGCTGAATAATATTTATATATATGTATATGTATATATATGTATGTGTATATATATATATATGTATATGTACCACATCTTTATCCATTCATCAGTTGATGAACATTTAGGCTCTTTCCATAGTTTGGCTACTGTTGACAATGCTTCTATAAACATTGAGGTATATGTGACACTTTAAATCTGTATTTTTGTATCCTTTAGGTAAATATCTAGTAGTGCAATTGCTGGATCATAGAATACTTCTGTTTTTCTTTTTTTTAAGATTTTATTTATTCATGAGACAGAGAGAGAGAGAGAGAGAGAGAGAGAAAGAGAGGCGGAGACACAGGCAGAGGGAGAAGCAGGCTCCATGCAGGGAGCCCGATGTGGGACTCGATCCCGGGTCTCCAGGAACACGCACTGGGCTGAAGGCGGCGCTAAACCTCCGAACCACCCAGGCTGCCCAGAATGCTTCTGTTTTTAACTTGTTGAGGAAACTTCACACTGTTACCCAGAGTGGCTACATTAGTTTTCATTCTCATCAACAGTGTAAGAGGGTTCCCCTTTCTCTGCATCCTCTCTGATGTTTGTTGTTTCTTCTGTTGTTAATTTTAGCCATTCTGACAGGTGTGAGGTGGTATCTTATTGCAGTTTTGATTTCGATTTCCCTGATGATGAGTGATGTTGAGCATCTTTCCATGTATCTATTGGTCATTTGGGATGTCTTCTCTGGAAAAATGTCTATTCATGACTTCTGATCGTTTCTTAATTTGATTATTTGTTTTTTGGGTGTTGAGTTTGATAAGTACTTTGTTGATTTTGGATACTAACCCTTCTTCTGATATGTCATTGGCAAATATCTTTTCTTATCCCATAGGCTGCCTTTTAGTCTTGTTGATTGTTTCCTTTACTGTGCAGAAGTCTTTTTATCTTGATGAGGTCCCAATATTTCATTTTTGCTTTTGTTTCTCTTGCCTCTGGTGACACATCCAATAAGAAGTTACTATGCCCAAGGTCAAAGAGGTTGCTGCCTGTGTTCTCCCCTAGGATATTTATGGTTTCCTGTCTCACATTTAGGTCTTTCATCAATTTTGAATTTATTTTTGTGTATGGTGTAAGAGAGTGGTACAGTTTCATTCTTTTGCATCTCATCGTTCAGCTTTCCCAACACCATATGTTGAATAGACTGCCTTCTTTCAATTGGATATTCTTTCCTATTTTGTCAAAAATTAGTTGACCTTATAGTTATAGGTCAATCTCTGGGTTCTCTCTTCTGTTCCATTGATCTATGTGTCTGTTTTGTGTCAATACATACTGTCTTCATGATAACAGCTTTGTAATATAGCTTGATGGCTGATATGCTTAGTTTTTAGTGGTATAGACTCTGAATATGAGAGGTCAGGAATGAAGACTGAGGAAAGCACACTTCTACATTCCAGAGAATGACAAAACTAGAGGAAAGAACAGAAAATCTGAGATTTTCATGTGTCATTTGCAATAGAGGCTGATTTACAGGTGGCACAAAAGGGAAAAACTTAAGATTATCAAAGAATTATTTACTTCACTCTAAAGGTGTATGTCGCCATTATTTTTTAATTCAGGGAACATAGGGCACTTCACTAGTTAGGAAGATGGTGTGGATATATCATCCGAGGCATTAGAATTGGCAAATACCAAATACTGTGTATGTATATAACAGAGCTAAATAGTTTAAGTTGAGGCTTGAGATTGTTTCAATTAAAAAAAAAACAATAGGAAAATATATCAGAATCTACTTGAACTCTTATATATGTTTTGCACACCCAAGTGATTCTCTAAAGATTTCTAATTAAAGAGGAATATTCACTCTACTTTAAGGAAACAGCCCCAAATACTCTAAATTATTGGCATATTTTCTGGAACAAAAAATCTTTTCTCTAATGTTCCATGGGTTCAATCTGATGTTCTTGAAGTGACAACTCTTGTATGGTATAGTCCTTGGTGCAGTTCTCAGTTTTATCTTCCATTAAGAATTGATAGAAGCTCTCGTTTTTCTGTTTAATATCACAAAGAATTGAATTCATCAAATAGCCAAATTCAATAAGGGCATGGACTTTCTCTCCACGTTTGTAAAAATGCCCAATGGTATGCATAGCAACCAATTTGCCTGATGCACTAAATACTGGGGAGCCAGAGGATCCACTAGAAAAACAGGTATCATAACTAAGTGTGTCAGTGCTCCAAGCTTCTGGTAGGAAACTTCTCTGGGTAAACATGGGGAAAACATTGTAAGTAACAGCATCGGATCCTACCATCTCATCTTGGAGTTGTTCTGCATACCTCTCCATCCGCTGATTTATTGGAATCACAGCACAACCATCTATTTTCTTGACCTGGCCTTCTGGGTGACCAATTATATAAATCAAATCACTGGACGGTTGAGAGGAAATTTGTCTAAACAGGCCTGGAGGAAATCCATTTTGATGTTGGCTTAGCTTTAAAATGGCATAATCTAGATTTCCATCAGATACTCCAAACCATGGATCAATGGCATACCAATCTTGATTATCAAGGAAGAACCTTTTATGACTGAAAGTTACCTTTGCACGTTGGCTTATTATCTCTGGCCACAAATTTAGATCTGTGCATTCTCCCACTATGTGATTGATTACATGTCGACAGGTGAAAATATAATCATGATTGAAGACAAAGCAAGTAGCAGTCCCCATGTTTCCATTATTATACCACATCATGAACCCAACTGACTTACTAAGATGAATAAGGTCTTCGCAGGTTGCAACTGAAGTAGAATTTTCAGTCACTTTTGCAAAGTACTTTTTATATATGTTGAATTGTTGAGATGCTGGCACTTTGGTTTTGTTCTGCTCATCCCGAAAATAGTTTCTCATCCAATGTGCCTCTTCATTAAAATTTGGATACTGATCCATTATAACTTTGCTCAACACTTGGCAATTCTTTAGCCAGACGTTAGTTGCCGTCTTCTGGATAGTTTGATTAATAACATGCTGCATACCCACATGGGGCCTTTGCCCATGTCTTGAGCTGCTCCTCCTGTATTTTCTCTTCACACTATTAGTGTAATAATCCCTAATTCTGAAAATTGTGCGTCGTTTTTTACGTTCAATATCATGCCCCAGACTCTGAAGTGAGACAGTTTCTTCTTTCTTGGATTCTACATCTTCGGTTTCCCCATCTGTCTCTGGTTTGTGTTCTATGATCTCAGACTGTAGCTGTTCACAGGGATTGATCTCATCAGTGGCACTTTCACTCTCCTGTTTAATTTTTTTATGGGCACCTTCCCTGACATTTCGTTTCTTAAAAATGTCCATCTCTAAGGTTTTTCCAGATACTTCATCCACCAGGGACTGTTTCCCATGAATTTTCTGATGATCTTCCATTACTTTCCATTCAAATTCGTCGAGGTCAGACCGAAATCGGCCATCCTTGCTTAGAGCTTCTTTGATAGTCTCACCCTTTAAAGCATAGACACAAACTGTACTTCCTCTTTCATGCAGTTCCTTGATCTTCAGAATCTTTTTTATACTCTTTCCAACAGCAACCACATGAAAAAGAATGCATTCCATGTTTGGATTTTCACATTGGCGGAACATCTGGTCATCTTCCTGGTTACACTTTCTTTGACCAAATGTTATTTTAAAATGGGAATCTCTAGGTAGGCACTTGAGAGGCATTCCTAAATTTACATATCCATCTATTGTCTTTTCTTCATAAACAAGGATGTTTTTATTGAGATGATTCTGCATCCTTTCTTTGAAATTGTCATTAGCTTTCAGGGCAGAGTAGATACTCTCAGTGTGTTTACCATGTGCTGTAAACACACTACGGTCTGACTTCCTGACATTTTCATTCAAGGTAAAAGTAAAAGAACATTTTTTACTGGTCCCCAAGTCTGGCTTCTGAATTTCCATAGATGCTTCATGCTTGACTTCACTTTTAAGCTTAATGGTCTTGCTCCACTCTTTAATGTCAGATAGAGAATGAGCAGCAGGTGTGCCAGGACGTGTCTGCTCCATGACAACATCCTTAAAAAAGGAAAGATTATGAACTTAGTAAGAATCACCTTTACTAATAATGTTTCATGTTTCTCTCATTATAGAACTAATAGATACCATGTAGAAGAATTAGATAATATCACAGATAATGAATAATGGAGAAAAAATACCAATCATTATTCCATCATCAGAGATAACCATTTTGCATGTTGTTTTATTTGAGTCTATAATTTTTATGCAGATACAAATCTTACGTTCCTTAAATTGTGCTAAGCTGCAAGAATTTACTCTTCATTAAGCAATCTGCCATCGACTGACATGTCATGAAACATGCATATTTAATGACATTACATGCCATCAAACAACGTCTGAAAACATCGTTTGAGGGGCCACAGCATATTTCACTGTACAATAATTTCTAATTCATTCTTCTGTTGATGGATATTTAGATTGTTTCCAGTTTTTAACTACTCTCAATATGACAAACATTTTCATACACAAAACATTCTGTCTGAACATCTGAACATTTCCCTAAGGGAGATTTTGAGCTGTAGAAATTCTGAGACTAAGGTTATAATATACTTCACAACATCTATGCTGCCAAACTGCTTTTCAGAAAAATTACACTGATTCATCCTTCTCCTTCTCCCCTTGCTTCCCAAAGAGGCCAAACTTATGGTTGACTCCTCCAAAGGATTTTAGGACTGTTATTTCAATTGTCTTCCAATTGATAAGTAAATGCCATTTAATTTGACTCTTTTTAAAGATTTTACTTATTTATCCATGAGAGACAGACAGAGAGAGGCAGAGACATAGGCAAGGGAGAAGCAGGCTCCCTGTGGGGAGCCCAATGAGGGACTCGATCCCAGGACCCCTGGATCATGGCTCAGGGCAAATGCTTAACCACTGCACCACCCAAGTGCCCCTCATTTGACTGCTTTTAAAATCTGCATTACTTACTAGTAAGGCTGGACTTATTTAATGTACTTCTCAGACATTTGAAACTCACCTTTCAAAAATTCCCCCTAATGATCTGTTTAGTTTCTAATCTGTACACGTTTCAATAGTACTAAGGAAATACATGATACACTAAAATGATTGATAAATGCTGGTTTGAGATAGATATACAAGTACATATACATGGTCATATACAAATAAATAGACCTTTTCAAAAACATATACACATACAACCAATTGTCAACAGTCTGGGAAAAATGATTGATAATCTGATGGGAACAGGAATTGAAACCAAGGACATAAGTGAATTACATGACACCATAGGACTTAGTAGAATTTGGATGGGAATTTTTGTGGATTCTCAAGCCTCAGACCTACTCCATATGAACAGAGGAATAAAGCTGGAGAGAGTAAGCTCAGGAGGGACAGAGGGGCTTGGTTTGCTTAGGAGGCCAATGAAATTGAATGAGCTTTGGTTTTAGGCACAGTGAGTTTCCTCCTCTCATTATGTTTTCCTTTTCCTTCACATTTTAAGCTACTACTTCTTGTCAAAATTTGTATCTGCAGCAATGTCCTCTCATTTGAGTTCCAGATATTAATACTGTGTTGGATCATCAGCATCTACTCCTGGATACATCAGGGACATTTCACCCTGAACACTTTCCAAAATGTTGTAGTAAAGCTTACTCTCAATCTTTCCCTTATTCCTGGGTTTCTTGAGTCTTGAGCTGGGTTAATGGTGTCACCACCCACCTGAACTTCCAGGCTAGCACTCTGCGAACCACCCTTAGCTTCTTCCTTTATTTTACCTCTTACATGCCATTTAAAAAAATATATACTTGAAATATATGATTCATGCAAAAGCAGCGTATGACATCTCCTAATAAACATCTCTATATCAACCTCCCAGATAAGAAAACAGCATATTACAATTTATAAGTGACTCTTCTTTTATCTTATATATATCTCTCTCTTTCTGATAGGCAAACACTCATCCTGAATTTGTTTTAAACTAATTCTTGCTTTACATTTCTTTAGGGACGTACACATATGTTGTTAAAATATAAGTACTGCACTGTATGTATGTGGTTTGTTTTGATATTATGGAAAGGCATCCTGTTAAGTCCGTTTTGTGATTTGTTTCACTACTTTTCTGAGATTGATTCTAACTGATGGAGTCCTACATTCATGTCTACAGTTAGAGAGAATCCACTGAAGCCATTAAATGTTGATGCATATTTGTTTCCTGGTTTCTTCCTATTAAAAACGTGGTACCTTCCTGCTGTGAATATCCTTGAATATGTTTCCTGCTGCACTTGTGCAAGAGTGTCTCTCTCAGGGGTAGGAATGGGACTGCTCACTTTCAGGGTCTCTGAATACTTGACTTTATTAAAATTGCCATTATTTACAGAATGGTTGTACCACCTTGCACGTCCACCAGTGGGCAATAAAGTTCTCATTACATGTACATCCTCATCAAAAGTTAATATTGCCCAGCTGTCTACGTTTGCCAATCTTGTGGGTATGGAATGGCATCTTTTTAAATTAGTAATTACTAATGGGAGTTTCATGCTTCTGTCTGTTCATGTCTCTTGCCCATTTTTCTATAGGACTATTTTCCTTTTCATTATTGAAGCTCCTTTTATATTCTAGATGCAAGTTATTTATCATTATGTGTTAAATATACTGAGTATCTGGCTTGCTTTTTCATTCTTATTAGGTGTCATTCAAGATTGGAAATCCTTAGTTTTATATTGTCGCATTTATTCATCATTCTATTCTATGTCATAAGGTTACCTTGGTAGAATGAATCTATTTCTTCTTCTTCTTTTTTAAAGATTTTATTTATTTATTGAGAGAGAGAGAGAGATATCAGGAGAGCAGTGGCAGGGGAGAGGGAGAAGCAGGCTCCCCACTGAGCAGGGAGCCTGACACAGGTCTCCATCTGAGGCCATGATCATGACCTGAGCTAAAAGGCAGGCCCTTAACCAGCTGAACTACACAGGTGCCCCAATTAATCTATTTCTTTTCCAAAAAATTGTAAAGGCTTGCTTCTCCCATTCAATTCTTTAATCTGAAATTATTTTTGTATATAGCCTGAGGGGGGCTTCAGTTTTTAAAAAAGTTTTCCTACAGAGATAAATAGTTATTCCAACACTAATACCGAATTGTTCATCCTTTCTCCACTGACCTTAATCGCCAGTTTTGCCATATGAGAGTACGGATTGAACTGTACACCCCCCATCCCAAAGTTATATGTGGAAGACCTAACCCCCAGCACCTCAGAATGTGACTTTTTTGTAAAGAGGGTTGTTGTAGCTCTAATTAGTTCAGATGAAGTCATACTGAGTGGGGGGGACTCTAATCCAGTATGACTCAGGTCCTTATAAAGAGGGGAACCTGGGAGAGAGACACAGACATACATTCAGGGAAGACCATATGAAGAGACCCATGAGAAAGATGGCCACCCCCAAGCCAAGAAGAGAGGTCTCTGATCCTTCCCTCACAGCCTTCACAGACCCTACTGACACCTTGACCTTGGGCTCTGAAACTCAAAAACCATGAGACAGTACATGTATGATGTTAAAGCCACCCAATTTGTGGTATGTTGTTACAGCAACCCTGACAAACCAATACAAAGATATTTTCATATATTTTATGGTTTGTCTCTCTGCTCTCTTCCATTGGTACAGTTTTCTCTATCTGGTGAAATACTGTCTTAATTACTACACCCCTCTAATAAGCATTCATATCTGATAGGAAAAATTCCTCACTTTACCCTCTATCCTCATAAATGTCTTGGCTGTTGGTCCTTTGTTCTTCCATTAACTTTTAGTCTTCTTGTTAAGTCCCACAAAAAATACCATACTTCTGAGATTGTATTAAACCAGTACATAAATTTAAGAAGGACTGACATCTGAAGAATGCTGAGCTTTCCTATTTGTGAATATCTTACAGGTCGACATTAATATAGGTCTCCTTTCATTGTCTTACAATAAAAGTTTATAATTTTTATCCAGAAGGATTTACAAATTGTTTCTTATATTTACTCATAGGTAACTGATGAAGATATGCCCTTACTGTGAGTGAGGGTCTGAATTATTCACACTTTCATTATTTAACTTTAAGTTGAACTGAAATTGAAATAGCCACATGTAGCTGGTGGCTACCGTAGTGAACAGTGTAGCCCTTTGCATTTTAAGATGAATAACTTAGCTTAATGTTTAAATTAAATCTCATCCTTAAAAACACAAGGCTAGGAATGCCTGGGTGGCTCAGTGGTTGAGCATCTGCTTTCGGCTCAGGGAGTGATCCAGGGATCCTGGGTCAAGTCCCATGTTGGACTCCCCACAGGGAGCCTGCTTCTCTCTCTGCCTATGTCTCTGCCTTCCTCTCTGTCTCTCATGAATAAATAAACTCTTTTTAAAAAAAAAAAACCACAAGGCTAAAACCTATACACACTTCTTCTCATACAGCATAAAACCCAAGTTTTTTTTTTTTTAAATTTTTATTTATTTATGATAGTCACAGAGAGAGAGAGAGAGAGAGAGAGGCAGAGACACAGGCAGAGGGAGAAGCAGGCTCCATGCACCGGGAGCCCGATGTGGGATTCGATCCCTGGTCTCCAGGATCGCGCCCTGGGCCAAAGGCAGGCGCCAAACCGCTGTGCCACCCAGGGATCCCAAAACCCAAGTTTTTAAGCAAGGAGTTCAAGGATATAACGAATAGTGCAGCTGTCTTCCAAAACAGCATGTACAAAAATGAATTAATGCCCGTTCAGGAACAGGCCTTGCTTCCTCTCAGTCACATGGTTTTGTACAGGAATAGTGGAACTACTTAGCTTGGGAAAGTGACATGCCAAAGGAAGTTTTCTCAGGGGACCAGGAAGGACTCCATGGGAATGACAGCAGATGCAGGCATGCACTCTGATATTACTGAACTTCTGTTGTCACTATGCAGAAAGCCAGTCAGGACAACATGAGAGGCAGAGTATAGAGAAGGGAAACAAACAAATCCTTGAAACAACTGCCTGCTGCTGCATTAAAGCTCAGCTGAGCTCTGCATGTTTCTGACATATGAACCATGAATCCATTTTATTTCTCAAGGGTTAAAAATTTCCAATTTGGAATCACTATTATATAAGCTAAAGAAATATTCACCATATAAAATGTCCAAGGAGAAGAATACTTCAGATCAGTGTTTCTCTAGCTTTAATGTGCCTATGAATCATCTGGGGTTGGGGTCTTGTTAGAATGCAGATCACAGAGAGAGCTCACAAGCCCTCAGGCAAGACTAATGCTGCTGGTGTGTGTGGACTACACTTGGAGTAGCAAGGCCAGAGAGGTCCTGAGTCTAGAGCAGCATTGTCCAATGGAGCTCTCTGCAATGATGGAAATGTTCTCTACCTGTTTGTCCACTATGGTGGCCATTACCCACATGAGGCTAGGAAACACTTGAAATGTGGCTAGTGATTAGAAGAAATTAATTTTATATTTTATTTAATTTTAATTCAAGGAATCCAATTCATTATTTCACCATTGGATGATGTTTTCCTGATAGGAGCTCTCATTGAAATAAAGCCTACTGTAATCTTCTCCCAAACTATCTTTCCAGCTTTATTAACCTACCATGTTCTTAAATTCTTACACACCGTCAAGCCTAGCTATACTGCTCCCACATATATTTTATGTGTGTATGACTTGACTCACACTATTCCTTCATACTGGATACATTTCCTTGGTGCAATTCTATTCATCCTGTAAGATCTTTGTCAGATGATACTGCCTTAATTTCTTGAGTGTAAATGAAGCATTCTTCTGGCTGTACTCCAAAACACTTGTTTGTATCCTGATTTGGTAGTATCACTTTGCATATTTTGTATTGGCCAAACCCAACTCTGAAGTCCAACTGCCTGGATTCAAATCCTCAACTGAAGTTCATAATTTTTTGCAACTTTAAGAAAGGTGGGTTTCAGTTTCTTCATTTTAAAAATAGGGATGACAACAATATCTATTGTTTTATTAAGTGTCAGAGGAGCTAATCCATAGGAAGTTGCAAGAATAATTTCAGGTACACACTAATTTCCTGGTAAGCAGTAACTGTATTATTTTTGCCTGTCTGTCCTATATATCGAGCACCTACACTATTTGTTAGCCACATTGTTGTCTAACAAGGCCCACTTTGCACTGCTAATCTGTACACTATCATTTGGTTTTGCACAAGCACTTCTAGATGTGATCTCCCCAAACGTATTTTCTACAACACAGAGGAAGGTTCTATAAGTGCCATTCAATACGAGTTTATCTCCTTCCACGATCCTAATACTGTGTCATGGTTAGAGTATGCTGCTCTAACAATGAGTTGTTAAAATGTAGACCTACCTCTGGATCTTCAGGGCTGGTACTCTGGCCATATTCTGCAGTAGTGAATGCCTTGTTATCTTCAGGTTTCTTGGAATTCATGATGACTTCTAAGAAACTATGACTCACTTCCACGACTGCCCAACTTAGAGAAGCAAGGATTGGATTTACTCTCGTTCTTGCAATGGCTGAAACAAACGGAAGATGGATCTTTGAAACAACTTTGAAACACTGGGCCTTAGGCAGTGCAGAACAGTGATCTCCCACCACCCTCCCCAAGAGAGAGAAATCAAATGAAGTAATCCTTCTGAACCTCTAGCTTTCCTGCTGGGGAGTGTTTACAGACTAAATCTTAGGGAAGGGAGACAGCAGAGCCTGGAAGTTTCCTTGAGTTGAGAAGATAAGCTCAGGGCCATGGGAAGCCTAAGTGGCCAGAGTTTGTGGGGAGACTATTGGAGAGGAGAGAGCTACAGCTACACACAGAATCAGAGATCTGCAGTGGGAAGCTCTTGAAATTTCAGCCCAATATAGATCAGTCCATGCATGTGAGGAAGCTACTGGAAGCCAGGGGTAGAACCACCTAAAGGAAAAAGTGGGACAATTCTGAGGGTCATACAGGCCTGAGAACAGTTTCTACTCCCAAAAGCCAAACTAGAAAACTTCATCACCCATGAGGTAGCAGGGAAGTATTCAGCAAGGTCCCATCTCCATAGTGGGACAAAAGTAGCCCTAGACTGAAGGCTGCTGAGTTCCCACCTGAGGACGTTTAATGACAACACTTGCAAGGATGAAACTGCTTCCAAGAAATGTAATTGAGCACTGGAGCAAAGCTTCAGAATACCGATGAGAGTATAAACATTTCTGGCACCTCAAAATGTGGAATTCACAAAGCCTGATGTCCAAGACAACATTACCAGGCATGAAAAACAGAGAACAGGACCCGTAACGAAGAAAGAAACTGAGGAACAGAAACAGATCCAGAAGGGACACAGGTGACCGAACTAGTAGGAAAGGACATTAAAACAGTTATCATCTTGAATCTCTAGCCAAATGTAACAGGGACCAGATTTACCCTCCACACTGAAAATGAAACAAGACAAAATGGACAAAATACATGTAAGGATGATTTGCAAGAACTGGCCATCATGCAATTAAGGACAGCGACAAATAAGACAGCCCCTGTGAATACTGCAGGTGACTGCTTGAGGGGCCCAGCCAGGCCAAGCTGCAAGAGGGCAGGAAAGCTGAGCCAGCTGGAGTCCCTGAGCCGAAGACAGAGAGGGAGGGGGCAGCAGTCACAGGGCACAGAAGGGAATGGACCTGTCTCCCTACCCCCCCCAACACACAGAGAAGTCCAGCTGCATGAAGAGGGTTCCTCTCAGATATTCTAAAGGCAAGGGAGCAGAGCAGCAATGGAAGAAAGTCCCTAAGGCCAGGAGAGAACCGCCCCCAAATATCAAACCGTCTCCTGACAGCCCTGCTGGGGATCTGGGGTTCCTCATTTGTAAATGAAGGAGTTTGGTGTGGATCAAACTTTCACTGTTCCTAAGAATTACCCCTCTGCGCTTGTTAAAAAGGAAGATACGGGATCCCACCCTGAAAGATCACGATTCAGTGACTCAGGGCTGTAGGCATGAAATTTCCCCGCCCGCTCGCCGGCTGGAAGGCGCCCCATCCCCCGCCCCCGCCCGTGTTCTCCAGATGCCCCCCCCACCACACACACACACAGGGGACCTGAAACAGCTTCCTCGCTGATCTCTTTCTAGGAGGAAACCTCTCGATCTTGGAGGCTGCGGGGCGGGTGAGGGGGTTCCCACCTCGGGAGGCTGGGCATCCCCTCCTCCCAGAACCTCCTGGCTCAGGACCCAGGTCCTCCTGCCTAGTGCTGTCAACAGGCACCCCCGAGAGCTGCAGGTCCGGCGAGGACCCGAGCACCACTCACAGATGCGGAGGTGCGTCCTCGGTGCCGGTGACCGCTGCCAGGGACTCGGAAGGGCTGCGAAGGCCGGGTCCGCGGGCTCTCTGCCCGCCCCTTCTCCCGAGAAAGTGGAACCGTAGGGCCCGAGTTCCCGCCGGCCCAGGGCAGCGAGGGGGCGGTGTCTGCGCTCATTGGCCAGGAGCGCAACCTCTTCGGGTGCCACTGGCGGCCTCCGGGCAACGAGGGGTGGACCCTTCCCCGGGCCGGCGCCCCCCCCCCCCCGGGGGTTCCCGGAAATGGAAGCCGCTTGCAAGGCCTCTGATGCTGCTCGGTCTTGCCCGCGCCCCGCCTCCTGCACCCCAGGGTCCGCGTCCCGCCCCGGAACCGACGGCGCAGCCTCAGCCCTCCTGCCCCGGCGCCCCTGCAGCTCCGCAGTCGGGCGGGAGTGAGGGTGGGCTGGCAGGTGGGCGCCGGGGCCTCCGGAACTAGGGCGCCCCGGCCACCTGCGGGTGGTTCCCGCAGAACCTCCCAGTGTTAGGACTTCTAGGGGGCTCGGCGCCCCCAGCAGAGGAACCGGCCTCGCGGCGAGGCTGATGCACACCCTCAGGCCCTATCTGAACCCCGGAGGGCTGAGCTCTCCCTCAATCCCTGCCTGGGACTCGGGGTTCTGAGCAGCCTCCTGTCAGCGACGACCTCTTGGAGGGAGGTCGCCCGGCGGCCTCAGGGACCCGGGGCTGCTCGGTCTCTCTAGCTCATCCCCTAGGCCCAGCGGGGGGCTGTTTGGTAGTTGCCTTATTTGGGTCTCCTTTGTTCTTCGCGGCGGCTCCTAGAGTTAGGATTGATTTTTGCCCCCATTTCACAGATTAGGAATCAGGATGATTTGCCTACACCCATGGGGCGAGTGTGTCCTCGACTTGAATCTCAAAGTCTCATAAAGCTTCTCCGTCTGGGGCTCTAGGCTCCCTATCTGTCACTTAGAGCCGTCTGCCCCTCTGTGATTCCCCTTCCATTCCTGTCCTAACGTGTCACTTGAGCAGCTTTGCAAACCGCGGAAACTCAGACCAGTGCTTCGCAAAGTTTACGATGCATCAAAGAATCCCCAGTTCAGCTTGTCCAACACATTTCTGAGCTGCATCTGCAGGGAGCGCGACTCCATCAGGCTGGAGTGTGCCTGGGAGCTTACCTTCCTCAGGAGGTGATGCCAGTGCTGCTGGTGGCCGGCTTTAAAGCCAGTGTTATTTCTGTTCATGTCTTTTGCCCATTTCGTGATCAGGTTGTTTGTTTCTTTGCTGTTGAGTTTAATAAGTTCTCTATAGATCTTGGATACTAGTCCTTTATCTGATAGGTCATTTGCAAATATCTTCTCCCATTCTGTAGGTTGTCTTTTAGTTTTGTTGACTGTATCCTTTGCTGTGCAAAAGCTCTTTATCTTGATGAAGTCCCAATCGTTCATTTCTGCTTTTGTTTCCCTTGCCTTCATAGATGTATCCTGCAAAAAGTTGCTGTGGCCAAGTTCAAAAAGGGTGTTGCCTGTGTTCTCCTCTAGAATTTTGATGGATTCTTGTCTCACATTTAGATCTTTCATCCATTTTGAGTTTATCTTTGTGTCTGGTGTAAGAGATTGGTCTAGTTTCATTCTTTTGCATGTGGATGTCCAATTTTCCCAGCACCATTTATTGAAGAGATTGTCCTTTTTCCAGTGGATAGTCTTTCCTGCTTTGTCGAATATTAGTTGAACATAGAGTTGAGGGCCCATTTCTGGATTCTCTATTCTGTTCCATTAATCTATGTGTCTGTTTTTGTGCCAGTACCACACTGTCTTGATGACCACAGCTTTGTAGTACAACCTGAAATCTGGCATTGTGATGTCTCCAGCTCTGGTTTTCTTTTTCAATATTTCCCTGGCTATTCGGGGCCTTTTCTGATTCCGCACAAATCTTAAGATTATTCGTTCCAACTCTCTGAAAAAAGTGCATAGTATTTTGATAGTGATTGCATTGAACGTGTAAATTGCCCTGGGTAGCATTGGCATTTTTACAATATTAATTCTTCCAATTCATGAGCATGGAATATTTGTCCATCTCTTTGTGTCTTCTTCAATTTCTTTCAGAAGTGTTCTGTAGTTTTTAGGATATAGATCAAAAATTCACCAAAAATATTTCACCAAAGAAGACATACACATGGCCAACGCATCACTTGCCATCAGGGAAATACAGATCAAAACCACAATGAAAAAAAAAAAAAAAACCACAAGGAGATACCACCTCACACCAGTCAGAATGGGGAAAATTAACAAGACAGAAAACAACAAGTGTTGGAGAGGATGTGGAGAAAAGGGAACCCTCTTGTACTGTTGGTGGGAATGTGAACTGGTACAGCCACTCTGGAAAACTGTGTGGAGGTTCCTCAAAGAGTTAAAAATAGACCTGCCCTACGACCCAGCAATTGCACTGCTGGGGATTTATGCCAAAGATACAGATGCAGTGAAAAACTGAGACACCTGCACCCCAATGTTTATAGCAGCAATGTCCATTATAGCCAAACTGTGGAAGGAGCCTCAGTGTCCATCAAAAGATGAATGGATAAAGAAGATGTGGTTTATGTATACAATGGAATATTACTCAGCCATTAGAAATGATGAATACCCACTATTTGCTTCAACGTGGATGGAACTGGAGGGTGTTATGCTGAGTGAAGTGAGTCAATCAAAGAAGGACAATCATTATATGGTTTCACTCATATGGGGAATATAAAAAATAGTAAAAGGGAATATAGGGGAAAGGAGAGAAAATGAGTGGGAAAAATCAGAGAGGGTGACAAAACATGAGAGGCTCCTAACTCGGAAACCAACAAGGGGTAGTGGAAAGAGAGGTGGGAAGGGGATAGGGTGACTGGGTGATAGGCACTGAGGGGGGCACTTGACGGGATGAGCACTGGGCATTATACTATATGTTGGCAAATCGAACTCTAATAAAAAAAATATACAAAAAAAAAGCCAATGTTAGTTTCACTGACCAAAATGTGCTCTACGTAGTTGCAAATACTAACTAGTTTTATCCTCTAACAACCACAGGAGGCAGCTACCATTATCCCCATTTAAAGGAAAGTGTGGGGGACACCTGGGTGGCTCAGCGATTGAGTGGCTGCTTCTGGCTCAGGGCAGATCCAGGAGTCCCTGGATAGAGTCCTGCACTGGGCTCCCCCCAGGGAGCCTGCCTGTCCTTCTGCGTACATCTCTCTCTCTCTCTCTCTCTCTCTCTCTCTGTATCTCAGGAGTAAATAAATAAAATCTTAAAAAAAAAAGAAAAAGAAAAAAGTATGGCCATAGGGAGACACAACAATTGGCCCAAAGACAGCCCCGGTGGCTCAGCGGTTTAGCACCGCCTTCAGCCCAGGACAGGATCCTGGGTCTCCAGGATGGAGTCAAACGTCAGGGTCCCTGCACGGAGCCTGCTTCTTGCTCTGCATGTCTCTAAGTCTCTCATGAATAAATCAATAAAATCTTAAAAAAAGAAAAAAGAAACAGCCATTTGCAATTCAAGATTAGGATCCCAGCTGGCTGGCCTGGTGACTTTAGCCCCCTTCCATTGTTTCTGGGTTTCCTTTGCACCAACCTGGGGACCTGAACCCAAACCAGCACTTTCCAGCCCCTGATCCCTTCCAGTACAGCTTCCCATAGCCCCCACTTGTCCCCGTGTGACCCTCCCTGTGTGGCCAGAGGCTCTCGTAGAGGCAGCTCCTGGGGATGGAGTCAGCACAGGAAGTCCCCTTGCAAGGACCCTGCAGGTGAACAGCCCAGTTCCCGGTACCAGTGGATGGATTCTCGGTGGGTAGTCTCTCCGCTGTGGCCGGAGTTCCGAGCCTGGCCTGCGGAGGGCGACAGAGGACGAGCCTGATGGAAAGGGGAGGGAGAGAGAGGAAGGGAGGGCATGGTTGAGGGTTGACTCTCATTTTAGGTAAATGCAGCATGGTGTGGGTTCGCCAGCTCTGTTTCCCAATATCTTCCCAACCTTTGGTGGGGGGGGGGGGCTGCATTTGTGGCATGGAGTGGAAAGGTGGGAGAGTCCTATGCCATGGCATGTACTACCAGAAAGCACTAGGGTCCGTGGTGGCTCTAGCTCAGCCTGGCTCATCCCTCTTTTTCCAACTTGCTTTGCTGTCAGTTAACTAAGGCCCACTTCCCCTGTCTCTGGGTCCCTGACTCTGGATCCTGGTCTGTCCGTCACTTGGAAGTTTTGTTTAAGGCTTCCAGGGGTCAAAGCCGGCGTGATACCTATCATTGCTTTAGCAGGTAAGTACCCAGGTCTCCGGTGCCTGACCATGGGGAGCAGATGCAAGGGCGGGGGTGGTGGTAGTGGTGGTGGTGGTAGTGATCAGAAGAACAGAGTGGAAGGTGTCCACTAAGCATCAGGCACGGTGCTTTGAGATTGTCTGGAGGATTATTTCTCTACTTAATTCATTATATATATATATATATATATATATATATATATATATATATATATATATATGAGTTCGATTTGCCAACATATAGTATAGCAGCACCCAGTGCTCATCCTGTCAAGTATCCCCCTCAGATGTGGAGAAAGGGGAACCCTCTTGCGCTGTTGGTGGGAATGTGAACTGGTGCAGCCACTCTGGAAAACTGTGTGGAGGTTCCTCAAAGAGTTAAAAATAGACCTGCCCTACGATCCAGCAATTGCACTGCTGGGGATTTACCCCAAAGATACAGATGCAGTGAAATGGCAGGACACCTGCACCCCAATGTTCACAGCAGCAATGTCCACAATAGCTAAACTGTGGAAGGAACCTCGGTGTCCATCGAAAGATGAATGGATAAAGAAGATATGGTCTATGTATACAGTGGACTATTAGCCATTAGAAACGACGAATACCCACCATTTGCTTCAATGTGGATGGAACTGGAGGGTATTATGCTGAGTGAAATAAGTCAGTTGGAGATGGACGAACATTATATGGTCTCACTCATTTGGGGAATATAAGAAATAGTGAAAGGGATTATAGGGGAAAGGAGGGGAGCTGAATGGAAAAAATTAGAGGGACATAAACTGTGGGAGACTCCTAACTCTGGGAAATGAACAAGGGGAAGTGGAGGGGGAGGTGGGTGGGGGGTTGGGGTGACTGGGTGACGGGCACTGAGGGGGGCACTTGGCCGGATGAGCACTGGGTGTTATGCTATATGTTGGCATATTGAACTCCAATAAAAATATATACAAAAAAAGTATCCCCCTCA